GAACATGACATGTTACGGTGGAGTATGCCGATCTGACTGTGGACAACACCGTAGTACTTTATTGCAACCTTGCAGTAGCTATGTAATCATGGAGCTATCCGTGGCGAAAAATATGATAAGTTTGGATTTACATTGGTATGTAGTGGGGATGGTTGCATCGGGCTAGCAATTGCATTGGTCATTCTCTATCCCTTGGGTATGCATTCCGGTCATGTATGCCCAAAGCTCCAAAGCTTTCTTTGTGCCAAAATTATATACAGATTATATACCAAATTACATGTAATCCCTCACTTCTGGGCATAAACACCGGCCTTGATATCATCCAAAAGCTTCCGGCCAACTGGTTCCCAACCAAGAAGTTCCTGGGTCTTCTTGCTTGAAGTCGGGTTATCGAGGCTCATAACCATAGACATGAAACCGTCAAGACTCCCCATTTCTTCAACAGACTTGGATACAGCAGGAAGATCTAGATTTTGACCAATAGCTGCAGCAATATCTTTCAGGGGAACACCCTCCTCGGCCACAGCATGGTATATGCTTCCAGCAACACCCTTTTCTAGGGCAAGTCGGTAGAGCCGAGCAGCATCATGACGATGAACAGCAGGCCATCGATTGAATCCCTCATCGACGTAAATCGCATTGCCCTGCGAATGCGCCAAAGCAGCGAGTCTATCGACGAACGCATGGTCCTCCTCGCCGTGTACAGTCGGTGGTAGACGGATGACACAAGCGCGCACGTTTTGCTCGGCAAGACGGGAAATGACTTTCTCGTTACGAGCGCGGATGTTCATCGATTGTTCGTAATCAATGACTTCGTCTTCCGTGCTGAGTTGGCCCTTGGAGAGCCCCAGGGTGCCGGAGGTGGTGATCAGAGGCTTGTTGGTTCCGATCAGGACTGAGCCTAGAGTTTCGATGGCTTCTTTTTCGTCGAGGCAGTTCTGCTCGTACTTGCTGAAGTCGTGGTCGAATGCAAGGTTGATCACGCCGTCGGCTTCGCTTGCTCCTTGCTTGATGATCGCGGAGTCGCGGAAGGAACCGCGGAGTACTTTGACACCTTTTGCCGTCAGGGAAGCGGCGGCTTCATCGGAGCGGGCGAGGCCTGTGACCGTGTGGCCGGCGGTTAAGAGCTCGTTGACAACTGCTCTGCCGATGAAGCCAGTGGCTCCAGTAACGAAGACGTGCATGGTGAGAATGGTTGTAGTGAGGTTGATGAAGCGTGAAGTATAGAAGATGAAAGCCGGGAGTCTGGTATTCTCTTGCTTGAATTATGTAATTAGATTGCTATGATGAAAGCTATACAGAAAGCGAGTTCGCGACCCTTTATAGATCGAGCCATCGAGGAACTAGATACTCGTACAACCCGGACATAACTAGTTGCTTAACTCCACACAGCTATTCCCTAACTCCATATTAAGGCTTCAATCCCGTTATTCCCCTGGTCCGCCTTTAAGAAGAATTATTAATAATGTCCGAGGCGAAATACTATTGATTGCGGCTCCAAGCTACTAAGATCACCATGTCGCGGTTGCGGAGTTACGTACCTACGTCAACTGGACAAACTACCCATAGACACGAATTATCCCATTCCTTCAGACCGTATCTTTTTCAGCCTAAAATCTGAACCGCAGAAGATATTCCCCAAGCGCAAGGGGCATACTAAACCAAGACATGGCTCCCATATTTTTACAGGAACTCTTAGTGAAGTGCGATGAGATTCGGCCCCATTGCCCGAAGTACATTACAAGTGTTGCCTGCAACCATCCCCAAAACCCAACCCCATATAAACAGAATCCCACACCTAAACACCAAACTCCGCCCTTGTCAACCCCTATGGGCCGCAGCAGCAATACTGGATATATCCATAGTATCAAAGGAAGCACCAAGGGCACAAGAAACATGGTCTCTCATATGCAATAGCGAACACAACACTAGTAATCTTAATCTCGATCTACAATCAATGGACGTCTCAGACGTTAAAAACAGCCTGGAACGCAACCAATTCCTCCAAATCCTGCTAGATGTAGAGTGAAGGAGATGGCGAGTTAGGAATATGAGTATGAGTTTCATTGATTCGAGTAGAATTGCAGGTATAGTAGATGCAAAATATGCAGATGGTTAAATTAGCTAAAGGCCGTGATGTTAAGAATTCATATACAAAAAAGTCATATAAATATACCTCTGACGAAAACCAGAAGAGAATGGTATCAAAACCTCGCAACGCCGGGAAATGCTCATATCAAACTTTTAGGGAGAGATGATCATTTGCCACATAAGATGGACAGAGATATGAATATAAAACAAGAGAATAAAAGAAAGAAAGAAGAGAAAAAGGTAGACAAATTTTTTTTCAAGTTCATTGCCTCGAGTTGTGCTCGTAGTTGAACGGGGTGGGGAAGTGCATGCTAGCGCTTAACCCGAACGGATCCGTGTCCAGCATCGGCTCGTACTGGCCGAGCAGCTGATTTGCATTTCCGAAATCGCTGGGCGTGCCCTCGCCCGGTGGTTGGTTGAAACCGGACATATTGTGGGAGCCTGAGGCGACGGACTGCGGGGTGAAGCCGGGGACATAGGATGTTGAGCCGTCGTGGTCGTCATCGACCATGTCGGCCTGGGCATCATACTCTTGTTCTGCTTGAGAGGTCAGCTGGGGAGGAACCTGTTGTATCGAGGCAAAGATAGGCTTACCGAGTTGATCGTAGTGTTTCTGGAATGGAGATGGATAGTATGCAGCCGCGACCCGCGCACCGCGAGGACCCATGGCTCCACGGGATTGGGGCTTGGAATCTGGCGGTTCGGTCTGTGGCATGCTGATCGCTGGTGGCGACGTCTGACTGAAAGTCCGGGGTTGAGGGAGGAGCTGGGGTCGTCCCTCGGCCGGTGACATGGCTCCCTGGAAACCGAAGCCGGGGGACTTGGCGTGCGAGGGCGAGGAAACGTGCGAGGTGGGGGTTGCTTGGAACTGTGGCGACGGGATCCCGTATGCGCCTTCCCGCTGCGACATGCCGAACGTCTCGGGCTTCGAGGCGATGCCTGCGGGGTGTCGCTGGTTAGGGCGGGCCGCTGCACTGGGTGCCTTGGGCATAGGGTTTGCCTTGGGGGGAGCACCCGGCGCCCCTGTTTTCAGGCGTAGTTCAGCCTGGACATCGATGCCTGGGGGGGTGGTTAGTTGAGATTTGGACTAGAAGTTTGAACCAGAGGTTTGGGTACCTTTTTCAAGGAGAATCCGCTCCAGCAGGGAGTTCTTGTACCGCAACATTAGACATTCGTCGGCGGCACTGCGATGACTCTGCTGTAGACTCTGCAGAGATTCCTCATTGCGTTTGATGGTGGTCTCTAGCTGGCGGATATACTCCGTCCTGCGTTCTCGGAAGGCCGCCTGGGCCTGCCTGTTGCGTTGCTTTCGCTCTTCTGAGGTGGCATATATCTGAAGGGCGAGTTAGTATACAATATAATATAAGTAACACAGGGAATGCGGGGCCCCAGATTTGCCAAAGATGTTACGTACAGGTTTCCTGCCTCCCTTCCTCTTCTGAGTTTGCGCAGCATCCTGAGTCAAGGGTTCTGCTTCTGGATCTGGTGTCGACACGGTCGAACTGATGGAACCATCAGGACCAGGTTCATGTTTAGGAACGATTGAGTCCATGACCATATCACTATGATCAACCATAGAGACCATTATATAATCTAATTCAAGCCTGTAGGCGGCCCTCCGCACACGGAACAGACACAGCCAGTTTTCCCCGCGTTGCCGGACCTGTTGGCCGGCAAAAAAGAGAAAAAAAAAAAGAAAAAAAAGGGAAAAAGGATAAAAAGGGTAAAGGGGGGAAAAGAGCCAGTCAAGGTAGACACACACGCGCGGCTAAAGGGACGTGCTTTCAAGGTATTCAAGTGACATAAAGAAAACTGAATTATGAGAAAGGAAGAGTCAGAGGAATTGAGATAAAAGGAAAAAAAAAAAAATAAGTAAAGCAATTGACTAACAAAAAAAAGTCTGTCCGGTCAGGAGGGGCTCTCTCGCGTACCTGCCCAGGTGAACTCTTTTGATCTTTTTTTTCTTTTTTTCTCCTTTCTCTAACTACTTTGGGTTTTTATTTTCTTGGGTCCACGTTTTTAGTTGAATGGCCTTATTCATTTCCATGGACACATGATCCACAAAACCTTTTGTGGATGCCTTTCCAAGGTTATGCCGTATTGAATTGAGAATACATTGCAACTTTGTAAAACTTCACATTTCACTTACAATATGCAACCTTGTAAACTGCCACCTATAAGCTGAAAAGTTGTCCGCGGAGAACCCTGAACGTGGTGATACCGTATATCCGATACCGGCCAGATCGTCCCATTATTGACATTATTGAACATTATTGGGTCGGAGTCCTCCGCCTTCAGATTTAAATGCCACATGACCCCATTGCCCTGACCCATTGGGGCACTCGGAAGCGAATCATGCGCCTCTTCCCCCTCGGACACCAAGGATCATCGCATGACGCCCCTTCCCCGGACTTAGAATGCATTGCAGATTTTTCTCTATGGAACAGCCTGAGATTATGCGGGGGGTATATTTGCCAAGAATTGGATCACATTTGGTCTGGACTTATGATCTCATGGCTGTTGGATGTGCGGAGTTCGCGGGTACATTATATTGTAAAGTGTTGAGATCTTATATGATTTATTAATAGTATTGAAGAATCTAATCGTACTTTTGTAGGGGTAACAACTCGATCTCGATTTAACCGTGCCGAAATTATAGAGAACTTGACTTGTTTCCTTTTAAATATGAAATATCTTCATTTCTACTCTATTTCTATAGATGTTGAATAATTGTAGCACATATAGTCTCTACCTAGGCAAAATGTAAACCCTCGGCGATCGGCATTCCCCCCGCCAAAACACCCGTCACATGTCAACCTCATCTCCAGACTTTCAACCTCAAAAAAATTAACCTTCACTCCGACCGGGCCGTATCTTCAATTGAGAATAGTTTATTCCTCTTGCACAATATGTCCACCCCCTTGCCTACCGAGGATCGCCCCGAGGCTCCTACCGTGACCGCGACAGAATCCCAGCCCGCGCAAAACACGGCCGCAGCCACCCCAGCACCGGCAGCACCAGAACCAGCACCAGCACCAGCACCAGCACCAGCACCAGCACAATCGCAGAAACCAGCTGTAGCTGCAGATGACGATGAAGACTCAGACTTCGATGAGTTAGATGGTAACAAATCCCCCCCCCCCCTTCCCCTTCCCTCCCCCCCCCTCCCCCTCACCCCACCACGCAGAATACACACTCACACCTGCAGACGTCCTCGACGACTTCAACAAACCCAAACCCGCCCCTGTAAACCCACCCACTACCAACCCCAACCCCTCAACAGGAATCACACCCCCAGACTTCGACGAAGATGCCTTCCTCAAGCAACTCGAACAAGACATGGCGAACATGATGGGACCAAGCGGCGCAACCACCTCAGACCCCAACTTCCAAGCAACAGTCGACCAAGGCGCCGACGTATTCGCCAAACAGCTCGAAGAGAGCGGCATCCCACCCGGCGATTTCCTCAAACAGCTCCTCGCAGACGTGATGGCCGAGGAGGGTGGTGCTGGCGCCTCAGCGGAGACCCTTGCTGCTGCCGCTGCCGCGGCTGGTCTCTCTGCTCCTAGTACCCAGGGATCGTCAAGCACGCCAGCTACATCTACAGCTACAGGCGCAGGCGCGGAACAACCCGATTCATTCAACGACGCTATTCAGCGCACGATGGGTCGGATGAAAGAAAGTGGTGATAAAGCTACTGCTGCGGCTGGTAATGAAGATGATATCTCTGATGATATGCTGGCGCAGCTGCTCAAGGCTGTTGAGGCTGGTGCATCGGGAGCCGGTGACGATGGGGATTTGTCGAAGATGTTTATGGGGATGATGGAGCAGCTTTCTAATAAGGAGATGTTGTATGAGCCGATGAAGGAGTTGGATGTTAAGTTTGGCCCGTGGATTGAGAAGAATAAGGGTAGTGGGAAGGTTTCTGTTGAGGATATGGGGCGGTTTGAGACGCAGGCGCGCGTTGTTAAGCAGATTGTGGGGAAGTTTGAGGAGAAGGGGTTCTCGGATGATGATCCTAAGTGTCGGGAGTATGTGTGGGAGAGGATGCAGGAGGTGAGTTGTTACTTTTATATTTGGAGTGAGATCTTGGGGAGTGTTGCTTACTGACTATATCCCTAGATGCAAGCCGCTGGAAGCCCGCCTGAAGAACTCGTGTCGAATCCCCTTATGGAAGACCTGGGTGGTGCGATGTCTGGAGCTGGCGGAGTGCCTGATTGCCCACAGCAGTGAGATGATCTTGAAAATGTATGATTGAAGATTGAAAGATGTTGTCTTGATGTCGAGGCTTGCTTGTTTCCCTTGTCATACATCGTCCGTCTCTGTATTGTACATATGCGCAACCCATGTCCATATACCCTTATTTACTTGATGTATATATCCGGCCCATCCCGCCCAGCCCAAATGGAATCAAAACGCCGCCCAATGCAATGACTCGCAAATAAAATCAACACTCTGCCCATAGTCCCAGCCTTAGCCCACTCATGACATATCCATATCCTGCGACTGCGACTGATGCCCTCGAGGTTCTGACAACCCCATAAAGATATCATCATACTCATCGTCACTAAACAACACACCCGGTCCATTGGACCGTAAATGCTCAACCCTCCCAGGAACACCACTCTGCGTCTCCCTCAGCGCCATCTCCATAGCCTCCTCCTGTGAAATAAATTCATCAAGCGCCTCAGCATCATCTACCAAAACCCGTCAGCAATGTCCACCAATCCTCAATCCAACCCAACTCAGAAACAAAAAACATACCAGGTAGCATATCATCCTCATCCCCCTCAAACCCCCCAACAACCCCCTCCCCATCCCTCGCCATACTCTCCTCCCACCGCCTCCGATCAGCAAGATGTTCCATACGCATCATCTGCTCCCCACGCGCCTCAAACCGTCCATCGTCACGCTCATGCCGCACGCGATTAAGAAACATCTTACGCGTTTTCGAGCGCGCCAGACTCGCTGCATCTTTAAGGGGATTTGCGATGGAGGCGTAGCGGGCTTCGTATTTGGGTTTCTGGCGTGTTGGGGTACTAGGGGAGGTTTGGGGTTGGGTGAAGAAGGGGTTTGAGGAGAATGCGTTTGAGGTTGGTGTTGTTGAGGCAGAGGCGGACGCATTGAAGTTCATTGCGATTGGGGAGTGGTTGGTTTGGGTGTGGCGGGTGATTGGTTCGGTTTGGATGTTAAAGATTGGGGGTGGGTTGGTGAAGAGGTTTGGGGTGCTTTGCGACGCGCTTTGGCGCGTTGGGGACATGGTGTGTCTGGTGAGAGGGGAGGAGTGGGTTGGTGTGTATTGGGTTTGGCGGAAGGGTGTTTGGGGGGATTGGATTGCGAACATCGTGTAGGTGTGGATTATATGGAGATGGTGATGGAGGTCTGGATCCGTCGGATGCGGATGTCGGTTGCGTCAGTTGTGGGCTTGTGGGTTTGGTGTTTGGTGTCTGGCTTGGTTTCTTTAGAGCTACCTATTCAGGTAAATTGTATTGATCTGAGAGTGAATCATAGTATGTTTACACCGTAGAAGTCTAAGAGATAAAATTGTATGTTTGTAGACACACGTCGAAGTCGCGCTAATTTAGCGCGTTTTACCCCTTGCAGTATCAGATTTCATCTAGAATACTGATATTCCAACATAATCCAATTGGCAACACTGAACACGCTTTTCAATTTGGCTATTTCAAACAATCCAATTATCTACAAGAATGCAAAAATTCCAGCTAGTACCGCAATGCCAGCAGCAAAGCCGCTTACCTTGACAGCCACCGCTGAATTCTTATACGAGTCAGGAGGGGGTGCCAGATGAGTGACGACCTTCATACATGTCAGCTGAGAAACAGTTTCGTCGACAAGACTGTTGTTCCCCTTCCCAGTGAACACAGTGAGGACCGGAGTAATCTTCCAGGCCTCCTCAACCATAGCGTTTGCTGTGTAATCCCTCTATCGCATATATTAACAACTGCATATGTTCAACACGAAGGGAACTCCACTTACCAGCGTAATGAAACTCCCAATCTCAATCAACTGATCAGCCTTGGGCTGAATAGGCCAGCAGTTGGTGGAATTCTTAACCGCAACAAGATCATCGAGCGCCTTAACACTGAAATTCCCAAGCTTGCCACCTGCATCCGCGAATCGATCACACTTATCAAGAGAAAACTTCTTCAATTCCTGCTCAAGTGTCGTGCAGTTTCCACCAGCCTCTTTAACTGATTTCGTTGCCTTTTCCGTAACCTTTTCAATGCATGTCTTGCCAATGACATCGAAACAGGTACCGCTCGCAGAGCGGGTTTCATCCCCAGTGTTTGAACCTTCCACTGTCGACCCGTTGAAAACATCGGACGGGGAATCGTGGAAGACAACAACGCAGCCAGATAGGTCCTTGGCCTCTATGTCTGGGGGTGTGCCGAGGTAGTAGACTGACCTGAAAGGGCGTGTGACCGAGTTGCCACCGTCAAGCGGAGTAGATACATTGACACCTTTTACGAGGGAGAACCCAGAGAGAGATGAGGGGACGTCGGGGATGCGGGATAGTCCGATACCAAGGAAGACATCGTCTCCCACTGCGCAGCGGTCCTCGAAATCTTCTAGGGGACATGAGACCTCTTTGCAGCCTACAAGGTCGGAGGAGAGTTCGCCATCCTTTGCGAGTGTGGAAGAAACGAGTAGAGAGAGACCAAGGGCGAGCGTGGATTTGAGCTGGAGCATTGTTTTTGGATTGTAGAAAAGTGAACTGGATGTAATTTCAAGATGTGGGAGGACTCAGTCTGATATTGAAGAAATTATACATCTGACAGCCGTTAAGGGGTTCATTATACACTTGCTTTGTGTCGGCTTGTGCCGTTGCAAGCTAGCATAAGTCCGAAGTTGGGCACTAGGCACCTCAATGACATCATTTGCAATGGCCTACATCCCTGGCTAACTAGACCACTTAGCTTACTGTCCTTTAGGGGAGAAGGGAAGGATTCCCCGTCCCAAGCCAACGACACGGCGGGATTTCCACGAGCCAGATGGGGGATGTGGGAGTCCGAGATCTGCTTGCTTGAGGATGGGCTTCAAACGACAATTTGCCTTGGCTGATTGGCGCTGTTGCGGAGTAATTCGGTGTTTGCTTGGCTTGTTTGGGGGCGATGGTTTTAAGAGGCTATCCTATAGTGTGTGGTTACAGCGGATCTCTTGGCACGATGCGCCGATCCTTTGGCGCTTAGTCTTCAGCCTCTCAAGAACCCTGGAAACCTTGCAAAAGCCTCATGGGCTAAATGTAGCGGTCTGAAAGCGGAGAAGAAGCCGGGAGAGAGAACGTACGATGTAGATTCATGATCTCTATAAAGCGTGCCTGATTGATCCATACACCTTCATATAACCTAGATAGTCGACGCTTACCCTTCTATGAGAAGTCCTCATTAGATTAACTCCTTGCTCTCAGCTCTTCTTTAATTGATAGGGCTAGTAAAGTAGATGTTATTGGTAGTGATCTTCGCACAACTAGGACTGTACGCCTTATAGGGTGTTGGATCGGCAAACTTCCGCTCCAACTACCAAACCTTATTCGTTGACCTTAATACTACGATGCTGATTAGACTAAATTGTACTGTCGGCGAGTAGATAAACTCCCTGGAGTGCTGTCGCAAAGAAGCTCCATGTCTACCAAACAAACAAAGCTAGCACACCTAGGAGATATAGAAGGGAAATCTCACTTTTGGAGCTTGTCTTCACCGGAGGATACAATGCGGATGTTCTTGATCCATTCCCGGTGCTTTAATATCATTCCAGTGTGCATTGACTACAAAAGTTCAACTAGCTGTATTTCTTCGAACCACCAAGGACAGACAGACGGACAGCTTAGTTTCGATACCCAAACAGTTTCCACTATACAGCCATACATGGTACTATGGAGGATGTTGGGAGCTACTCAGGTGTTCGTTATTTGCACTTAGCCAGCACAGCATAGGATTATGTTGTACTTGTTGTGATGCTAATTGTGGCAGCATATATATGTGACAGGATTCACCTCCAGTTGATAATTTGCTTTATTTTCATCCCTTTCTCTGTTTTTCTTTACTCATATCTGCTTAGTGTGTCCCTAATTATCTTTGATCTGTATAGTTAGTCTTGTCTAAACTAATAGTTACTTGTTTAACGAGAGTCGGATTTGCGAGAGGATTGAAAGGTTCTTCGGTTTACTATGGGACTTATATGGTAGGTATGCATGTTTCAGAGAGCAGAAAGGTTTAATCTACTAAATCTAGTCAGTCATAAGACACCCAAATGCTCTGCACTCCCTAATATACTTATAGGAGCTACCTATACCTTCCAGCTAGAGGTGCAAGGTCGACCGTCACATTAATAACGTCCGACCTTCGTTAAGGGAGAACAATCAAGAGTGCTAGGTGAACGGTTGCCAAGGTGAATTGGATGCTTAGTGTCCATCTCCGAGGGCTGGAATGCATCACGTGGATCAATTCCACGTGGATACATACTTCGGATCGAGATCGGATGTCGATCTTAATCTACATCGATGCATCATAGTTTGGTACGATATAGTACTGTGGATTGTTTCACTTGGATTCATTTGCCTTGAATTACATACATACAGATCGGAACGGATCAAGATAGAAGGGACCTTTTGCAGCACGCGCCTATCAACACTATACAATCTGTGACGTCTGATGCTGCAAAAGGTACAAGAATAGAATATTGGTCAAGGCATAATGGAGTTTGCCATAGGACAGCACTAGGCGCCTAGATACGGGGAATCAAAAACAGATAACAGGCATAACGGAAAAGTAGTGCCGTTTTTTTGTCAGTCGCGCAGGGGTCGAGAATCGCGATTGCGAAACAAAGGAATGTGGTGGTTGCAGAGACAAAAAAACGCTCAAATGAATGCGCAGATGTTCAACCAATGAAGGGAGAGACTGGGGGTGAAAACGCCCGAAAAGAAAAAGCAATTTTGCAACCGAATAAACAAACGCAACCATGACCTCGCATATCCTGTCCATAGCGCCTGAGAAAAGCATGAAGATCGTACAAGAATTACACTTCGACGTGTCGAGTCAACGCAGTACATTTAAAAGTTAGATGCCGCGTTGACAGGACCAGGGTTGTGATACTGGTCTAGTGTGTTCTTGAAGGGGGTGTTGCCGGCCGGGCTGGGGGCCTTCTCGCGAGGACCGGAGCCCACAGCGGTGCCGCCCATGAGATCGTCCTCATCGCCGTATTGCTCACTGCGCTTCTTGTGGATTCTCCAGAAGACCAAGCCCACGGCACCGATAAGGATGGCACCGCCGACACCGACCACGACACCGATGATGATCTTCTTGTCGGATGAAGACACACCACTAGAGCCGGAGCTCTTGTCGCCGTTAAGAGAGGGGGCGGGGGTGGAGGTGGTGGTCATCACATTGGCGATGGTAGATCCATCGCTGGTCGCGTAAGAGGTGATGGTCTTCACGACCGGGGTCTGGGTAGCAGTGGTCTTGGCCGAAGTGGTGTCATCGCCCTCGGTACTTGTCTTAGAGGCAGGGTCAGTCTTCTTGGAAGTGGTTGAAGCGACGGTAGGCTCCGGAGTGGCGGAGGGCTCTGCTGAGGTGGTAGGTTCGGTGGTGACGGGATCGGTTGTACGCTCGGTGGAGGAGGTGGAAGAAGAAGAAGAAGTCGAGCTGGTAGTAGGGTCGGCTGTGGTGGTTGGTTCCTCAGAAGTAGTCTCTTTAGAGGATGTGGAGGATGATGTAGTCGATGTGGTTTCAGGGATTTCGGAAGAGGAGGATGAGGTGGTTTCAGTTGTGATATCCTGCACGGGGTTGGAGACACCAGCACTCTGGGCTGCGACCGCAGTCAACAGTAGAGCCTGGATGAAGAACGAGAGGCTGGAGAGACGCATAACGAAGGTGTGTACAAAGTAACGAAAGAATTTGACCTCAAGTCAAGAATAAAGAGAAATAAGCAGGAAAATGAAAAAGGAGTCAAAGCGAGAAAGTGAACCTTTGGGCAGTGTTTGTCCCGAACTTTGGGTGGCGCTATTCCTAATTTGGTATTGGTCTCAGACTAAACACAAGCGCCCAGGAATCTGTCACTCTGATTGGCTGATACTTCAATAGAAAACACGTTAAAACTGGGTCCCATGGACGTTTGACCGATTGGGGAAGCGTTTTTATTTTAAATTTAATACAGTATGGGTTGAAGTAGAGAGTAGAAAAGGATTACAAGTTAATGAGTTAATAACATACATATATGTACTTTATATGTACGGAGTATAGTCCTGATTAGAAAGAAAAAAACTTTGAACATGTGGGCTGAACCGTGACGACGTACCCCCCTCGCTTCCCGCTCCATATTTAGCACTCCCATGATCTGCCTCTGATCTTCCATATTTATTGGTATTGGCGTAAAGCCGTATGACTTCCTGCATACAACCTAAATGTCTTGTCACACCAAGTCGCATAATGAATGGTTGGCATCTTCCTACAACGTGACAGGGATTTCCCATGTCTCATGTCACAACCCCTCGGGTACCTGGCCCCTTTCGACTTCATAAAAAAAGCCGACACAGCCGGAGACCTGAAAATTGGAGTTTTGCCCCTAGCCCTAATTGGTTCATGTGGGCGTGCCGCTGGCAGCCTAAAAAGGCTTCGGGGTTCCCGCCCGTTCTGGAACATTTTTGGGGCTTACCTGTCGTTCAGGTCTCCAGGGCCCGGGAAGACCTCGGGAATTCATACAGGCACTTTTACGGGGATGACGTTGCACGCTTCCGGGTAGCCAAGATGAGCGGCTATTGATCCCCCGTTCCCGCTAGGCGTCAATAGACCGGTCGATCTCAACGGTTTGCATGTACTGCGTACAATATACTACCTCGTACGGAGTAGATATGAGGCGAATGACAGAGAATAGTAAGGTCAATTCCATGGAGTATTACTATTTATGACTATTCAACGAAGCCCAATGCCAACGATATAACTCGTTCCCTTATTCCATGGTGAAACGGTGGCGCCTGCCTCACCCTGCATGGTCACTTTCCTTATAGCCGTCGCATCCGCCCACATCTTCTCCACATCTACTCCGTAGGTCGTTTCATCTTGTTCGTTTCAATGTTGATAGTGGGATACAGTATTATTTTTACTGTTGAGTAAGCAGGATAATAGCCCAACGTTTGACAAGGGTAAATGAAAATCCCGAGATTGTTCAGATATCCAACATTACCTTTGTGAGATTAAAGCCACCGCCGATTCGCTATACCTAGGACCTATCAAACATTATAGCTGCAAAGCAGTTCCTTCAGTTGTCATATCGAGACTCGGGATGATCAATAAGAAGCTGTCTGGTATTCCTATTTTGAGATGTTGAGGACAAAGGGAGTAACACAATGGAAGCAGGGCATCTATTTCTAGAATATCTCTTGCGGGCATAAATAGAAGGTTGAGCAAAGACCTCACATTCGAATCCTGCTTTGTGGTCAAAGTAAGAAGCTTTGATTCCTTGCAAAGGGCAAGAAAAGGCAAACGCCCATAATAGCCAAGCAATAAGGCACGAATCGTTTACTTTGTTGGATCAATGATCTCTTTATTTTCCTAAGAATAGAGTCTCTTGTTCTCGAGGCCATGCTCGCATGAGATGGAGATATTTTTTCCTTTGTTATTTCCTTCTGCTATTCAGTTGCTCTGATATAAAAGTCATCTCTTCTTCCTGTTTTACATTTTAATTTGACATCAACAGCCTTGCATACAACTCCCATAATACCAAGTCCCCCTAAGCATATCTACAACACATTCAGCGTTCAGCATTCAAAGCGTTTAGCATATTCAGGATTTGCCATACCGATACCACTTCATTCTACACCCAATTTACTCGACCAATCCCTCGATAACCAAATCCCAGCACCTCGATCCTCACAAAACATGGCCGAGACACGCTCTTCTCCCAAGGTCATCACACTCTCACTTCCCAACCTTGATATTAAATGCGAAGACCGATTCAAGAACTACGATTTCACAAATATTACACATGTTGTCGTCCAGTAAGTACCATTCCAAATGATCTGTACCCCACTTAAGCTTGAAATACTAACGTGAACTAGTCTATCTGATATAATAATCAAGAGCATCAATGCTAATACCGATACCTCCTCCGAGTACGTCAGCGAAGATTATTTGAATATCATTGCAAAGATGCTTTCTGTGAAATTCTTCGGCAACGAAACGCAGCTAGAATGCCTAGACACCGAACGCCTTGGTAGACGCAAGTTCGTTGCATTCACCAACATCGAAAAGAAAATGGAGCGGGTTCAGAGTCAGAGCCCCTGTGAAGAAAAACTGGAAGTGATTGAGGTCATGTTCTTGCGAACCAACCCCCGGGAGACACAGAAGGCCTTCTGGAGGCCCGCCAGAGCACTTGTCTTTAGAAAGGTTCTGGCTCGAGTGAAGCAGAGCTTGGTTGAGATGGTCCGGCTTCGAGTTATGTGGACACGCTTGAATGTGTCTACCCGAAAATTGCAGAGAGTGCGGAAGGGTTCGGCTTCAGCTTCAACTCCAGCATGATCGGCTTGTTTTGATATTCGGCAGTCAGGTTAGACTAGTAAAAATGGTTCGAAGTGATAGAATTCATCGTGATTGTACTATTTCTGTTCGTCTGCATTGAGCTAATAATCTTTAGTTGCGTAGCGTAAAATCAGCAGTAATACATAAATATGGTAATTTGACGGGTCTTGATTGCCTCTGGAGCCCAGTTATATCCAATGTAACAATCCTGCGGCGCACCCTTGAGAGGAATCCCGAAACTCGATATATATGTCCCAGTTATTGGATCCCAGCCTGACTGTATATATAAATAGCTGGAAATAGTAGAAGGGGCAAGTCAATGATTCAAATCAAGTTCACTCTCCGGATGAAACAAGGGATGCATCCCAGGGAGTGCGAAAATGTATCCCACTGTATACCCGATGTTGACACAAGCGCCAAAACGATGGCAAGAAGCAAAAGTCCAAATTCGCGAAAGATAAAAAAGATAGCATGCGCTATGTGTCATATTCAATGTGGGTATCATCAGTTTCCTTATCAACAAGCGCCAGGGTATTAAAATTTGTTCCGCGGGTTTCCCTTCATCTGGTCCTTCAGCTCTTCCTTGAAATGGTCAAGGAATTTCTTGTACTTGAAATCTAATCCAAACAAGTCAGACACAGTATTTCACCATATGTCGGTACGAAGCATACCTTGTCCCTCAAGTTTGGTGCCTCCCCTGCTCCTCCGGAGGCACCCCGTATCTGATATGTTGAACTTTTTGGTGAACTCGGCCCACCATACGATGGAAGATCGGACTTCGAAGGAGCTGTGTGGACGATTAGAATGCAAACTCAAGCGCACGCATGCCAAGGTCGGAGCAACGTACTCGAACGGTGAGCCATATCTAAGATGGAACAATGTCAGTGAAGATTGGAGTGGCGATAGCAAAAGCACTTACCTCCATACTTCGGAGCAAGAGATTCAAAACCATCTTGCAGTTTTATAATATTCGACCATGAAGTTCCAAGTGCTAATATGGAATGAGCAAGTTGAAGATTGAGATAGAATGAAGCAGTCTTTGGGGTCTCGATCGTCAGAAGATTTTCTTAGTCATCCTCCCCGCGGGGCCCGCGAGAGAAGCTTTCTGAATCATTCCAAGCTCGTGGAGCATGACGAATTTACTTGTTTTACAACTTGTGTGACAGTTCTCGACAGAGTCACTTCTTAAGCGGCTAGAAATGGTCGTGTGGCTTTGTCAATATCCCGTCTCCGAGTCCTGACCATAGCCAACGATGGCGAGTGGCGCCAAACAAAATTCACAAGTGGCTCGCTTCTTCATTATCCATTCAAGGAACTACGTTTCCCTCACATTCAGAGGATGACCAAAGGCTGCTATACCTGTCGACGACGTCGCATCATCTGCGACAATGGCCAACCCACCTGCCGGAAGTGTCGAGATGCGGGGAAAGAATGTCTGGGGTACCAGAAACCGCTTGTCTGGGTCAAGGGTGGTGTAGCTAGTCGAGGAAAGATGATGGGCCGCAGTTTTGATGACGTGGAAATCCCGTCTAACAAGCCAAAGCGCCAGCCAGCTACTGGGACGTCCAGCACATATGATTCGCCTGCGACGAGCAGCGGTTTCGGCTTTTTCTCTATCGCCGAATCCTCAACCGATGGGGAATCGCAAAGCTCCGGGAGTCAACCTAGTCCGGAGACTGATGGATGGGCTTTTGAGATGGAAACTCCAACATTTGGGGGAGAAATAGCGTACTTAGGGGTCAATCCGGCCGAGGAACAGGACGCCGCAGTGGTCCATGTTCCTCGAAGCACTCCTCCTGTCAACTATACTCCAACGCCATGGGGACTGGTAGATCCACTGCTCAAAGATCTCAGCCGTTTCTCAAGGTACTACGTACATCACTGTGAGACTTCCCCGATGCATTATCTGTGGCTCTACTGACAATTACTCGTAAGACAATCAATATATGGTGAACGACTTTGCGCTTTACTCGCAACACAAAAATCCCTTCCGTGATCTTACTGCGCTGGTCAACCATTCTCCTGTTCTTGCTAGCAGCATCGCTGCTCTTGGAGCCCTTCATTACTCTCTTGTATCGGAGTCGGACTCATCTGTCCTACCATGGTCATCCGGCAACCTTTCCATGACGGATTCAAACTTGTCAGCAGAGGAGATTGAAGATATCGTTGCGCCAGCAAGTTCTCGAAAACCAACTTCGCAGGCATATCATCATTTCTTGGAGTACAAGCAGCGCGCCCTTCGCCAATTGTCTATGGACCTCAATAACCCAGCGATGCAGAAGGACGGCAGGACCATAGCTGCCATCGTCTTGCTTGCATTCCTAGACATTTTTGAATCCGGCAGCGGGGCCTGGAGTTATCATATCGAGGGCGCGAAGAAGCTTCTCAAGGACCGACCTGAAAATGGTCCGGGACAAGGAATCCTCGACGACCTGGACGCTTTTGCTCTTGACGGGTGTTTAATGTAAGATTCGGGTCTTTGCTTATAGCAAAAACTTCTTGCTGACCATAACAGAATGGAAATCATGGGATCAACACTAGCTCGCCCAGGCGCGCTCTCAAAGCCCTTCTACTCCTCATCCATGGACCCAGCAATCCTCAAACGCCTCGAAGAAAACTCCTGGGTCGGATGTCCCGCCTACCTCCTAGAAGTAATCTTTTTTGTCCACGCCCTCTGGTACCCAGACCCGGAAGTCACCACCATAACTCCCCAACCAACAGCGCTGCCAAACCCAATTCAACCCGGCCAACCCCTCACCCTAGACTCGTTCGCAAGTCTCCTCCAAGGAATCCGCAACTTCGACCCAATAGCCTGGAGCCAAGATATGCAAAAGGTCTTCTTCCTCCCAAACCTAACCTACCGTCTCGCCCTCGCAACCTCCTACCAAGACGCCGTCTACCTCTACACAAGCCGCGTCCTCTCACGTCCCAGACAAGGCTTCTCACCCCCGTGGACAGACGTCGGCCTCCCACTGGACCACAGACTCATCGCGACAAACCTCATTACGCAAATCTGCCTCATCCCCCCTTCAGACTCGCACTTCAAATGCCTCATCTGGCCCACTTTCATCGCTGGCGCGGAGTGTCGTCCTTCACAGCGGGCTCTTATTCTTGACAAACTCCGCTCGCTTTATGAGGCTCTGACGAGTGTTAATGTGCGAAATGCTGCGTGGGTTCTGCGTCTCATGTGGCAGAAACAGGATCTCAAGCGTCGTGATCGGAATGTTTTTGATGAGCAGGACTATGATGATAATGATTACGATCTTGAGTTTGACTGGATCGAGGAGCTGGATCATTCGCGCCTCGATTGGTTGTTCATTTAATTTGGTGGAAATAATGGAGATATAATCTCGCTTTTATGAGTAATGTTTGCTTGTGCCTACCTATTTATATACCTATCAATTAGTACATTTTAAGATCATTTTGTTTGGGATACGCAGTATTTCATTATGGATTTCAACGTATGTAATGATTGTAGGGAGACGGTAAAATAATGATTTGTGAATAGGAAAATCGAAATCGGGTATATCATCTCTCGACCTAGAGCGGAGGAAGAAGCAGAGCAAGAGAAAAAAAAAGAGACAAGGAAGTGTATACCAAGAGGAGAGGCAAGGGTGAAGCAAGTAGAATAAAATCACAATGAAAAATGAGGTCAAACCAAGATGCAACTATAAGGAAGCAGGGAAGTCGACAATGAGAAAGGTGATGATATCCAAGGAAAGTATTCTTTTGTCCGAACTGGGCCTAAAAAGAAAACATCAAGAGATATAAGAGAAAGAGGAAAATGAGGACATGGGCGTATAGACAGCCTTGAATTCATGTTTTCAAGGATAATCAACACGAGTCAGCCTCAAGAAAACCTGATAACTTACCAGACAGGGAAAGAAATGAAAAGAGGACAGAAAAATTCTCGAAGTTGTGATGCTTCAGGCCAAATCAGGGATATATAACAGCGGACGACATAGCAAACGACAAGGAAAAGCGGTGTTCTGAAATAGGCTATCAGGAGATGAAAGAAGAAAGTATGCGCAGGCTCCGTTCCAAATCTAAATGCAAGAAACATGTTTCCCCAAAAACGTAAATAAACAGAAGAACACGCTTGTCACTGGAATATGCAAAAGGTAGGAGAACCGATATGCTGGGATGACATCCCATCTTTGTGCGAATGCCCGTGCATGGAAGAGAAATAAAGAAAGAGAGATGAGGAGACGAGTGGAGGGGATGGTCTGTATTCAAATGATGAGATGGCGAGGTGCGAGGAAAGGTGGAAAGTCGGTTTGATACCGACGACAATGAAAGGCAATTTAGCAAGGGTGGATAGATGGATTGCAAGATGTATAGTTCTTGTTCAATATCATTAGAACACCGCAGCGAGCCCATTCTTCGAATGACGCTTGCTGAATCGTTTCCTTCCTTTCGTTGACTCGGTGTCGGTGGTCTGCTGTTTCACCAGGTGATTCCGACCCGATGATGGTGGGCCTCTATCGTCTTTCTGCATGTCGGAGGTGCGGTCTAGTGTGTTGGCGGGACTAGGGAAGCCAGAGGAAAGGTCGCGGAATGCATCATCAGAGTAGCCTGCGCTTTGTTGCTGTGATGCCATCTCCCGGGACCTGTCCAATGCGTCTAGCCATTCTTGTACCTGGACTGCTGTAGCGCCGATGTTGCTTGATGATGGCTTGGGATCCTCGAAGACGTAATGTTTATCTCTCTGTGCGTTTCGTTAGATGAGTCCCTTTGACTGATAAATGATGAACTACATACCGTGTCCACAATCCAGGATGAAATTCCTTTAGAATCCGTCGTACTTCTATAACTTGTCCCCGGAGCAAGCAGGGAAATCTCAAGCTTGATCTTCTTATCATCACCACCCGATGCGGCTAGAATGACGCGTCCCGATGATGTGACCATAACCAACCGCTGTCGTTTCTTTGTGGTGCTTCCTGAGAAGAAACGAGAGAACTTCCTGGGTGCCTCAATCTCACCACTGCTGTTCTTGGAGGTCGGGCTGTGTGAGGCAGCGGAAGACAAGACAACCAAATTACCCAACTTCAAGATCCGCTCGTTGGATTTGCTCAGTACCGGCGACCATTCGATATCGAGCTGACTCCGGAGGGGGTAGCTCCGTCACCACCCGAGGAAGGTGGCGGGAACTGGCACTTGGTGCGTTCGAAGGGGCAGTGGAGATGACTGGAGGCAGACTCTCCCCGTTGTTACTGTCATTGAGCTTGATGGGGTCGCGTGCAGGGGGTACATAGGCCTTCAACCGGGGTGCCTTCTGCTTCCATAGATCTGGACCCCATGTGATGCCTTCAAAGAATTCATGGTTTTTGATGTGTTCGATCTGAAGACGCCGAGCAGGATCTAGAACGAGAAGACGTTCGACGAGATCACGCGCCACGGTAGGAAATCCAATTGGGAACTCGTAGTCGAGTGCCACAATTTTCTGGAAAGTCTGGTACTCGTTTCCAGCCTTGAACGGTGGACGACCGGCCAAGAGCTGGTATATGATGCAGCCAAAAGCCCAAAGGTCACTGGCTTTGCATGCATTTTTGTCTGTCAACAGCTCGGGGCTGACATACTCTGCAGTGCCGACGAAAGAACTTGCCCGCTCTTCCTGTGTAAGCTCGGCCGAGTCAAGAGGCAGAATGCCATTTGAACTGGGATCAATTCGTGGAGTCTTGAGAATCTTTGCCGTTCCGAAATCAGTGATCTTGACATACATCCCGCTGTCAAGTAACACATTTTCGGGCTTCAGGTCTCGGTGGATGACACCGCGCTTGTGCATATAGTCTATCGTGTCAAGAATCTGGGCGCCGTAGAATCTTGTACACTCTTCGTCAAATGTGGTCATCCGTTTGAGAACACCGAGCAATTCTCCTCCCTTGCACAAGTCCAGCACGAAATATAGTGACTGCTCATCCTGGAAGGTGTAATATAACCGCACAATACCCGGGTGGTCGGTCAGGCGGTTGAGTGTATCCTTCTCAATGTTCACGTATTTAACTTTTCTCTCCTTGATAATGTGTCGTTTGTCAAGGATCTTAATCGCGTATTCCTTCAAAGTCTGTCGGTCCGTTGCAAAGACGACCGTACTGTAAGAGCCTTCACCGAGGGTATTCCCAAACGAAAAGTCTCGGACACCCTTCTTGATATAACGAGAGACAGTTTGGCCGTTGGCATCTACCTCCTGTCTCACAGAGACTGCCGCGCCACGCTCTTTCCATTCCTCACTACTGGCCATTGGGCCGTTTTCTGCCATATAAGACGTTCGCGGCATCTGAGACGCGCCGCCAGCTCTTGCTTGTGTTCGAGATGACTGTCGCATCACTGCCGGGCCGTTCCCCGGGATCTGCGTGGTCCGGTAAGATCGGTCGCTGTGGGAGTTGTCGCGCGCCAAAACACCGGCATGTAATGCCGACGATCCTCCTCGTGCGTCTAACCGCGCCTGAGACACGGATGTGGATGAAGCACCGGAATCGGTTCGAATGCGATAACTATTATCACGGGGAAGGACCGATGTTGCCGAGCCATTCACGTATACGGAGGAAAGGGGCCGGTTGGGATTCGGAGGTGATGAGAGAGCCGGAGCCGAGTACGGCTGGTATGGTCCTGATGGCAGTGGTGGTATCTCGGGGGAGGTTTGAGGGTATGAAGTCTGGCGATCGTCTGCCACAGGGACTTCGATGGGTGCAGGAGGAAAAGTAGAGGGGTGTTCGTCATATGCGGGATTGTGTTGTGTTGATACCGAACCGTCCGGCAATCCGAATGGGCTGGAGCCTGTTGAACCAGCGGTCGCATTCTCCGGTGAGAGAGGCGAATCATCTGGATTGGCTATCCGAAGCCCTCCTAGGGCCTGGGACAGGCTGAGATCCCCGTTCATGGCGGAGATTTTGGAGGTTTTGCGGCGACCGGAGATGTGCCGAGGGGTTCAGGGGAAGTAAGGTCGAAAGGTCAACAAAAGACAGGCTATAATCGGAAACGCAACGGATGCATGATCCGAGAGATAGTTGAGGGGGGGGAGGAAGGAAGAGAGAGGTGTGAGAGTGAGAGTCGACGTTGGAGAGGGGGGAAGGATCAACAGGAGGCTCCGTAGAAATTGGGTCTAGTGTCGAGGGGCTGAGCCTGACTTGACTATTAATATTTATTCCAAGACGAGAATCAGAGAGAGAGAGATTCAGAGTATGAAAAGAGAAATATATATGTTTTAATCCTTTTGAGGGGTGAGATAGAATGGGTATATCTGATTTGTCCAGTTTCGAGTTGACAGTTGACAGCATTGGCATTGGCAAACTATTTACAGATTTACATTTACAGAATTTCCTATAACAACCTGGGCAGGATTATCCGACATTGCAATATGTTTTCGTCAGCATTTCCCAGTCGAAGTTTCTTAAATTGTGAACGCGATTTCCTCTAAGACACGATGTTTCTATATACGGAATCTGCTCTGTGCAACTGATCCATCCCCGAAAACATGATCAGACGGCCCCCAACATTCATTGCCCTAGACGAAAATGATATTGAATCTCACCTGCAGCGGATCTATATCCGGCATACTCTAACTGTCGAATTCGAGCAGCTGCACATAGACGACGAAAGCTGCGATGAGATGGACCAATCCCCCAGCTCCTGTGTCTCTTCGGAATCCGATGTGGACATTGATACCACATGCCTGAGTCAAGAAGGATCCTCGTATTTTGAATCTACTCCAAGAAACAGAAGCTATGCTTCTACAGATGCAATTCCACACACTTCCGTGACAAAGTCCTGCCTCAAATCCCCAAACTCAACCCAACAGTCCTCGCTAAAAGTGACAATTTCCACCGGAGTACAATCGCAAGCAGATCGCTCTGTTGACCCACCGCGACTGAAGGTGAAATTTGCTCTCTCACCGCAGGAACTGGAACTCCATAGCGGTAAGGCCCCTCTTGAAGAAACAGGTATGTCAAACTCCCAAACAAACATAGTCTCCACCTAACTGTCCCCCCGGGCAGATCGTGATCGTCGAGAAAACCACCAGCCAAGCCACACTGACGCTATATATACACCCATGTCTATTGACTCGCCAGCTTCCACGCCACAGGTTTCATTCTTGTCGTGTGGTGTGTCGTCAAGTCCGGCCACCGCAAGCGTCCCACTCCGGGACCTAACCTTAGCGTCTACGGTGTCTTACGAGGCAGTCTTGGCCGAGGGGGCAGTTTCGCCTGCTAGTGCGGCCAATAACACTGGCGAGGATCGTGCCTCTCACCCTAAAATCGTCATCTAAGAGCTCTATCAAGATGGATAGATGCTTGAGATTGGTGGATTTGTTCTAGCGGTTTGGCCTCTTCGAGTCCACCATGAGCCGTCCCAGCGCGTTTTCTATATTGATACCAGTGGCTTTGTATTATCATCTTCGACTTTAATTCTGTATATTTATGGTATGATGTCTCTCACCACAAGACCCCATGATCATCCGGGGAACAGATGGAGTATACAATATTTAACCCCCAATATGAGATATTGAAACAGCCTGACGCAGAAGCAGTTCTAGGCCTACAAGAAATATCAAAAATAACCCTCCAAGCCTCAGTCTACTTTACAATGTCTCACGTTAAAATGTAAAAGAAGCAATCTAGAATGTAAACAATACCAATCTGAAACAACGATATCGGCAACCCAAATCTATCAATAGTTCAGTGGAGAAGAACCACAAACCTGTCTGCCTCCAGATCTGACGCGGCCTCGGTAGTGCCCTTTTAACCGTCGACACATCTCACCCATAACTCTCTGAAACTCTTGCCTACGTCACTCTGCATTGCTTACTTTGCTTACTCGGATTCTTTGCTTTTTGTTATCTGCAGAACATGCCGTTTAGATACATGTTCGACCCTCGATACGACTGGTTCACGGTTGGCCCGCATTCTCTGGGGATCCACTACGCCACCACGTAGAATAATCTCTATGTCGGGAAATTTCCGTTAGCGCTAAGACGGCGTTTGGTAGATTGCTCTTGAATCCAGGGGTCACGATCCAGGGGGATTTTGGTTTCTGGATTCATGGAGGACATGGCAGAGGCTCTTGCGGTGTGGGTGAGTGATTGTCTGGGTGATCTGCATTGTGGCGAGTGTAACTCGACGGGGGCAATGGTATAGTGGGGTGTTAAGGTTGGATGGGAAAGCCACGAAACCCTCTGCCGATATAGGATGAGATCTTCTTGGTTTTGATCTTTCCAAGGTTGTCCCTCAAATGGCTTGACTGAATTTTTAGAACTTCTGAGCCTGAGGATCCAGTGTAGCATGTCACGTGTAACAAATCACGTGCTTATCATTTTACGAGATGGTTTAAACTCGGAAAGCGAAGAGGTTCATCGGTCAATTGAATGAATTATAAATGAGCAATCGCACATGTCAAGGCAGTCTAATAAAGTGTATCAAAAGCAAGTCCCGTCGGCTAATAGAAGAACAAGGGAATAGGTAGATGATGAGGTGAAGAGGGTTAGATGGTGTTAAGTAACAATATGGAACGCCAATCGATCGTCTTCCAGATGCCGCTTCAAATGCTCTCTCGTGTATAATTTTTTTCCATGACGGTATGAGCTCGTTTCAATTGCATCAAAAAAATGGAGAGTAAAAAAAAAATAGAACCCTTCACTTCAGACAAGAATGGTGGGACAAGTTAAAAGAAAAAGGGGGAATTATCTACTTCTTGGCGAAAGCCTGGGCACCATCGACCAAGCGGCGCTCGGTGTTCTGGCGACCATTGACAAAGTCGGGGTAGTTGAGGGTCAACTCAACGGCACCGTTAACAATGTTGTCAACAGCCTCGACACCGAGCATGAAGGAGTGGTCCTGGTTGCCGACCTCGTAGCGCCAGCTGCCGAAGCGGCCACGGGACCAGATACCCTTCTCCTGGAGCTTGGGGAGAATCTGGGTGAGGGCACCCTCACGCTCGAGGGTGGGGGTGGGGTAACCGTGGTCGAAGCGGCGGTGGTAGGTGGAGACGATCTCATCACCGGGCTGGAGCATCTCGGTGTTGACGAGACCCTTGATAGAATCGGCAAGGAGGGTCTCGTTGTTAACGGGCTTCATAGAAGACTCGGAAACCTCCAACATGACGGACCAGTAGGGACCGTCCTGAGCCTCGGTGCTCTTGGGCTTGGAGCCGTCAGCGAGCTGAAGGGTGGGGAGCTTCTTGGAGGCCTGGGGCTGGTTGTTGGGGGAGTAGTTGGAGAAGATGGTGGCACGGTAGAATGGGCAGTCATCCTCGGGGAAGTACAGCCAGCACTTGTCACCGATGCGGTCGGGACGGGCACCACGGATACCAACACCGATAACGTGGGTGGAGGAGTAGAAGAGCTGCTTGGTGAGGGGCATGAGCTCGGTATCGTTCATAGCCTCGGCAAGGTAGTCGACGGCCATGGTGGAGACCAGCTTTCCGTAACCAATGGTGGTGCCATCGGCAAGGGTGACGGTCTTGTTGTAGGCGTTGACCTTCTCGACCTTGTTCTTGGGGCCGTAGCGGGTGTTCTCCTTGGGAAGAGTGTCGGCGACAGCAATCCAGATACCACCGGTACCATCGCGAGCGGGGAAACGGAAGGTAGCATTGGGACCCCAGTTACCGGCGGTCTTGTTGAGGATGACGTTGGTGGTCACGGCCTTGACGTTGGGGGCAGCGACACGCTCACCGAGCCAAGCGCATTGCATCTAAACATGATTGATTAGTATTGTTCCAAGTCTCGGGGGGAAAAAGTCGCAACTTACCTTGGTGGTGGGAACGGCCCAGACCTTGTAGTTGTAGGGTCTCATGAAAAGGTCGGCAATACCAACACCCATCATGCGGACAATCCACTCATCGAAATCCTTGGGCTTGGTGCTGGCAACACGGGCCTCGAGAGCAGCATCGATCATGCCGTCAATGCACTTCACCTGCTCCTCCTTGGGCAGCATGGAGATGTTGTTTTGGAAGGGGTAGGGAACCCATTGCTCCTGGCAGCGAACGTAGGAGATACGCTCGTGGGTGTACCAATCCTCCTCCTTGGGGAGGGCCTCGTTAATGCAGTCGTCGAAGTACTTGTAGTGGGAGAAGATAACGTGACCGCCGACATCGTAGAGCTGTGAACCAAGTTAGCGGTGTGGAGGACAATTGAGATCAAGTCGCAACTTACGAAACCTTCGGGGGTAACATCAGTGGAAGCCAAACCACCGGGGATCTCGTTGGAGTCGATAATCATCCATGAGGGGCCATTCTGTATACTCAATTAGTTTTTCTGGTTCCCGGAGTACCCCTCCCCCTTTTTTTGGGGATGGGTTTTTTTGTGCCCCTCTCCACACAGTAAACATCAGAGAAAATACTTACAATCTGGTTCAAACGCTTGGCGGCACCCAAACCAGTTGGGCCAGCACCAATGACGAGAACGTCAACAGAACTGTGAAGCAATTGTTAGAGGTGATGGTAGTTGATGGTTGGGCGAGACCTTACATGTCGGGGTGGGTCATTCTGCCTTGTAGGAGGTCCTGAAAGCTGGGGACTCGTTTGAATGTCTTACGGGCGACGTTCAGCATAGAAGCACAGCTGCAAGAATCTGCAGAAGATCAAGAGGGAATGGAGGGATAATAAAGAGGGAAGAACCAAAGAAGAAGGGGAAGTGGGAGGACAACGTGACAAGCCAAGCTATCTAGACGCATTAACGGATCCGGTGGAGACAGACGTGCCTGTTTCAGCTTTACTGATTCGTTTTTATTTTGTTTTCAATTTTAAGATGATCTCTTTTTTTTTTTTTGGGAATTAATTTCCTTTTTTTTATAAACCCTTAAACTAGGTCCTATCACATTAACGAAGAGCTCAATTGCAATTACAGTAATGCGCTCAGGGGGAGGCAGTGCTCCAGGGTTCAATATTAGAGTATGGAGTAGTAAAAGAACGCGTAAGGCAATCTTATCACACCGTAATAGTGATCCTAGTCAAAAAACATATCACATTCAGTGTAAAGCCGTTATTGGTGACCTTATCATGACACCTCTAAAAGCAGGGACTTGAAGTGCATAAAAGCTGCATTCACCTTTTGCATGCGGGTTGAATCGATATTGGAATTCCCTTAGCGTTGGATAACATTCAGGGTCTGGAATGCCCGTTATCTTCCCATTTCGGAACATTATTCTAGAAGAACGGAAAAAAAAAGGGGCGATATACAGATAGGGGCAACCATTGAATCTCGATCCAATATGGTCAGGCTAAAAACGCCACCGATGTAGGCATTGGCAGGTTGGCGATTGGTTAGGGTTAAATTAGTACGCAATACTCCGTACTGTTTGGGTAGTTTGTATGGACCTCCATTGAATAAATTCTGGACCAAATTAGGCTACTGATTTGTTAATGGTGATCCATGTTTCATCTACATCAATTCCCCGTTGCACATTACCTTGTGTATCACATGCATCAAATAAACATAATAAGATAGTTCCAAAGGAAAAACACCTTGAACCTTTCCCGGAGCAACGTCCGCAGAGTTGATCATCCCATTTGGCGGTCTCGAGGAGAGAAGGGGATTTGGCGAAACTTCAGTGCACAGGTATCTGGTTCCACTGATTGTCACTCCTAAGAGAGTAATACAGCGAGGATCTCTTCGCAACCAATATCTCGCTATCGCCTCCTTAAGGAAAAACTTCTCGAATCAGCAGAGAATACTAATTGCCTCTTGAAACACCAACTCCCGTTAATCCTAAAAGCTTAGGGGTCTTCTCCCTGGTCCAAGCACAAAGTACTTGCGGGGGAGAAAAGTCCCCTGATTGCGTCAGATACCTTCAGAGGGCGGATCGCCGCAGCATTCTCCACCCGTAAGGGACCGAATGGGACCCAGGTCTACTGAACGCGGGTTCTTGTGGGTCTTGGCTAACAGATGCTTGCGTAATGCCTTAATTTGGATCTGCGCCTGTTTCGGTTTTTCTCAAATTTTTTATTATTTCAGGCATTCCAAGATGCGTCCGTCAAGATCTAACATACCTAGAGATTGATACGTGTTACTAGAATTGGAATATGATTGAAAAATAAGGATAAGAATATGACAGCGCTGGAGTGGAGATCTATCAAGTTAGGTGAATATTATTGGTGAATATTTAAAGGAAAAGAGGAGACCAGCAAATGGGGACATTTCCCAAGGTTGGCCAGGCTTTGAAAAATTAACTAGTAAAGTATCGTATTGGTTTTGGTATAACCAGTATACAGCTGAAATATACTCCATAAGAAAGCGGATAAATTATGGAAGAGAGGATGAATATAGAGTACAGGTGGCCTTAGTAGATACGTAACAGTAATTCCAAAAATATAACTTTCCATACATGTATATTGCATTCGTACACCCTCACGATTTTCTGTTTGCGGCGAGTGGATCTATTTGTTTCCTGTTCCTCTGTTTTGGTGTTTTGGTTCTTGGTCTATTTTCCTTCTTATTTTCTTTACAATCACTTGGTTTCCCTTCATCTTAATTTCCTTTGCAAATCCCTCAGTTAATGTTTTTGGTGCCGAGAAAAATTACTCCCGAAGTACGTACCCCATTCCATCCCTTCAACCTTCATCATCATTTCTTCATCCACACTCGTTTTCTATTTATCGGTGCACTTGTTAACCTCGGGAACATTTTAGTGATCATTGCCTTCTAATCTCCCTTATCTTGCCCACTTTTCTCCGTGGCTTCCTCCGCATTTAGTCAAAGCCTCTCCCGGCCACGACCTTTTGAATTTAAGCGCTTTTTATCCGATCAATCTAAAACTTTTACAATGAGCGACGGCGAGAAGGTCCGCGCCTCTGGCGAGACTCCCCGGGAGCAGACTCTGCCTACTGTCAACCCCGCAGCGGAGAAGGGAGAGCAGCCCGGCATTACATTCCACCCCGCGGTTTATGTGACGTGAGCAACATCAAAAGGAAACAGATCTTGACACAATTGCTAACATATCAATAGTACATGGATCACTTTGAGTTCCACTGTCATCCTATTCAACAAGTACCTCCTCGACTATGCCAACTTCCGTAAGTCAGATCGGAAACCTCGGGATACAAAGCAAGCCGGCACTAACACACTGTGAATAGGTTTCCCCATCATCCTCACAACATGGCACTTGACCTTCGCTACCATTATGACCCAACTCCTCGCTCGCACCACCAATGTCCTCGACGGCCGCAAGAAGGTCAAGATGACCGGCCGTGTCTACCTCCGCGCCATCGTCCCCATCGGTATAATGTTCAGTCTGAGCTTGATTTGCGGTAACATGACCTACCTCTACCTCAGTGTTGCCTTCATCCAAATGCTCAAGGCCACCACTCCCGTGGCTGTTCTCATCGCAACCTGGGGTATGGGTATGGCCCCGGCCAACATGAAGGTTCTGGCCAACGTCTCCATCATTGTGGTTGGTGTGGTCATTGCCTCCTTCGGTGAGATCAAGTTCAACATGGTCGGTTTCTTGTTCCAGATTGGTGGTATCATTTTCGAGGCCACCCGTCTGGTCATGGTGCAGGGTCTGCTCAGCTCCGCCGACTTCAAGATGGACCCCATGGTTTCTCTGTACTACTTCGCCCCCATCTGTGCTGTCATGAACGGTGCCGTTGCTTTGTTCTTGGAATTCCCCCACGTCACCATGGACCACGTCTACTCCGTTGGTATCTGGCTTCTGGTCCTTAATGCCGTTGTGGCTTTCCTCCTCAACGTTTCGGTCGTTTTCCTGATTGGCAAGACCTCTTCCCTGGTCATGACTCTGTGCGGTGTCCTCAAGGATATCCTGTTGGTTGCTGCCTCCATGTTCCTGTGGCAGACTCCCGTCACCGGCCTCCAATTCTTCGGTTACTCCATTGCTCTGATGGGTCTTGTCTGGTACAAGCTTGGTGGTGACAAGATGCGCGAGTACACTTCTTCCGCTGGCCGTGCCTGGGCTGAGTACGGCAACAACCGCCCTGCGCAGCGCAAGTTTGTCGTCTTCGGTGCTGCCGCTCTTATGTTCTTCCTCTTTATTGGAACTATGGCTCCCAGTTACGCCAATGACTCCGTTGACCGTGTCAAGGGCTACCTTGGTGGTGCCACTGCTGGTAATGCCTGAATGCACTTATCAGACCCTTGGCTTTTCAGCTTCTATAAATTGGAACGCACAAAACTCGGCCCACTGTTCGAAGCCACAACGTCCCTTCTCAGATTGAGTCGGCGGAAATGAGAGCGCCGAGTGGATAAGTGCAGACATATAGCGGTATCCGTTCCTTTCCGTCTCTCGGTAACACAGAGACTGCCGCTTATGCTTTCAATGTTGTCTTTATGGGCCCTCGTGGTGCACTGCGAAACGAGGGGCTCGTTTCTGGCTGTTTTATTACCAATCCTTTTTTTTCAGCCCGATTTCTGTGATGTATACAGTGACAAGTGTTGTTGCTGGCGGTGTACTATTTTGTTTTTTCTACGAACATTGATTGATGTTAGACTTGCACGAGCTCTGGTGTCGGTTTTGCTTTGGACCTGATCTTGTGGTCTCTTATTTTTTTCAAATTTTTTTTTCACCATTCGTGTCTTTATAGTACCCCAATAGACTTGGATTTATATGACCTCATCTCATGCACGTGATCTGCTCTACATATGTACCTACACGTGACTTATGGGTTTCACGTGATGTAATAATCACGGGCCACCAGTCCAGCCTCATAGGCCAATGGTCTCTAAGCTCGACCCATCCAGCTTAACTCCACCTGAGGCGTCTTGGCTGCATGAGCCAATGGTACCCGTTAATAGCGCATGTATTAATACCGTCACCGGCGATCGGATAGCTGCTTTTTGCTGGTATATTACCGTTTGACTTGGTAACTCCGCATTTCGCGCATCGATTCATCCACTTCTTCAGATCGTTCTTTCTTGTCTCACACTCTTACCCTTCCTCTTACTTCCTACTTTCTTCCTTTCCCCCCGTTTTTCCCATTTTTCACTTTCCAATTCTTTCTCTTCTCTTTCAAACCCACCTTTCTCCCTCTCTCTATATATTTTTCGTACTTTTTTGAGACATCTTCCACCTTTTACCTCTCCTTCTTACTTCCGTCTCTCCCAGGTGGTTGAAGCTTTTTGTGTCTTGCTCACCTAATCTAACAGAACAGTCCCTCTTGTCTCACATCCAAGACAATTTTGAGGCAATAATGTGTCCAATGATGCTTAATCGCCTCTCGGACGGCCCGGCCACGGTTCTCTCTCCTTCCCGGGAACACGCCTTCGCTCAGTTCCCCCAGTCCTCTTTCCGCGACTCCCCATCAAGCTTTAATGGCTATCCAGCAAACCCTAGCACCGTCTTTGCCAACAATAGCTCTGCGCAGCCTATCCCCTCGAGCTTCAATTTCGCGTCTGCTCATGCGGTTCCCAAGCCCTCTCGCAAAAGATCGCGCGATGAGGCCACTTTTGAAGAGGCCGTTGCTCCCAGCGCGCCCCCGGCGCCAGCACCCAAGGTCCAACCCATCTATGGAGAAGGCATGGTTCTTTTAAACCCACAGACTGGCCTTGCAATCTCGGCCGAGAGCCAGACCGGCACATGGTACGAACAACAGTCTGAGCAGGCTGCCGCTGCACCTGTTTCTTCGCGGTCAAACGCGCTGCTTTCTGATGCTACCGACGTAAGCCGCAAGTCCCAGCGCCTTGATACATCTGCACCCGGTTTGGACGATATCGCGTTGTCCTCGGTCCATCAACGTCTGGACGACCCTAGCTCCAACGATCTGCATCGCACCCTCAATGCGGGGCCTGCTCCGCCTGCCGAGCCTCTAGTGGATGATGCCACCCGTCTTCTAGGTATCGGCTGGCAGCGTGTCAACACTGACGGTGACATGGCCCCTGCTGTTCGTGGCTGGACCAAGTATATCGACAACCAATACTCGGCCCACCTGCACGACTCTCAGATGCTCCTCAAAAGCCGCGCTCTGAACGCCTATCTTGTGTCTGCCACTCCGACTTCTGGACACTCGCCTGCCTTTTATCTTTTCACCGAAGACCTCACTCAAGGCCAGCTCGTTGCCTCCTCCTGGGAAGCATGCCTCCAAAATCTTCGTAGCTCCCCCATCATATTCGAGGGCGCCGCTCCCCTTGGAGCTACCGACCGACCTAGCGCACAACCCATCTCCTTCAGCTCCATGGATACTGGCGTGCCACTTCTCCAACAAGCCATGTCCAACCACCCTCAAACATCAAGCGGTGAACTGAGCGGAGGCGCGGAAATGGGAATGGAGATCGACTCGTAACTTCTTCCAAAAACGAATTCGAATTCCCTTCGATCCCGTCCGATCCGACAACATCGATCGATCCGATTCGCCATGACTAGACGTCCAGCCCATTCGCACGATCGACCTCGGACTTTTTCCCGGCTTTTTTCCGGCTGTTCTATCATATTTTTCAATCTTCTTTTTTCACTATTGCTTATTTAGTTATGGGACTCACGCGCCTGACTGACCCAGTCTGGCCCAATTCGGTTCTCACCCAATGGAGGGTTTGATAGGGTTCGGTGTTTTGCTTTCCTCTCTAATGGGAAATGGGCGGCGTCGTAATCTGGGAGTTCTTGAAGTATTCGCTGCATGCTTTTGACGAACGTTATTTATCTACAACCATCTATCTCATTAAATAAAAAAGATTCAAACCATTTTTGGAGTTCTGGATATAGCTCGATTGACGCGGTATGGTCTATAACGGGGTTTGTTTGAGATCCGCGAGGCACATGTCTTTTGAGTTAGGCATCTATTTTTGAATTTTGGATATTTTGACACAAACCAGTTGAAGACAGAAGATATCCATGGTATGTTTCCCTACTTTTCCTCTTACGAACCGAGGTTTTCCACTAGAATGGTTTGGTATCTATCTTACAAAGTTTCCTAAGAAATAGAGGCGTCAGTATGCAGTAAGCTTTCTCTTCTTTCAAATTTTTGTGCTATTCTTTCCACACATATCCACATACTTTCATATCTAATCCCCAGTCTTATTCAAGAACACCCAAAGCGAGATCCCTAGAGCCCAACGATCATGGAGAAAGACACTTTTACTTGGGTCGATGTGGAGGATCACGAGGATGGGCACGAGATGGACAAACGGAATGAGATCGACATTCTCAAAAGACTGGGAGGGCTTGAGGAAGAGGTTAGCAGCCTCAGGCAAGAAAATTTTATCAAGCAAGAGGATTCCTCCCTTATCCAGAGAGTGAAAGACCTTGAGGACGAGGTCGGCAGCCTCGAAGAAGAGGTCAGCGGCCTATGGCAGGAAAAATCGATCAAGCGAGAGGATCCCCCCTTATCCAGAGAGTGGAAGGGCTTGAGGAAGAGGTCAGCAGCCTTAGGCAAGAAAATTCGACCAAACGAGACGATCCCCTCCTGATACAAAGAGTGAAAGACCTTGAGGAAGAGGTCGGCAGCCTCGAAGGAGGGGTCAGCGGCCTATGGAAGGAGAATTCGATCAAGCAAGAGGATTCCTCCCTTATCCAAAGACTAGCGGATCTTAAGGTAGAGGTCAACAGTCTAAGTCACTCCCTTATCTTTGGACTGGCAGGCCTTAAGGAAGAGGTCGGCGGTCTAAGGCATGAAAAATCGATCAGGCGAGAGGATTCCTTCCTTCGCCAAAGACTAGCAGACCTTGAGGAAGAGTCCATCAGACTACGTCAATCCCTTGCCCAAGCACAGATAGACCTCAATGAAAAGATCAGTGGCCTACGTCGATCCTTTGCCAAAGACCAGGCAGACCTTAAGGAAGAGATTAGCACCCCAAGGCAAGAAAGTTCGATCAAGCGAGAGGATTCCTCCATTATCCGAAGACTGGCAGGCCTTGAAGATGTCATCGAAAACCTCACACGAAAGGAAAGGAACAAACAAGATGAAACCAACGCTCAACGCGAATATGTCCTGCATTTATGGTCTAAATGTCCTCCCTCGATGATGCAAGGCTCAATCATTGACGCTACCCACGAAGGACACATTCGCGCCGATATCCAGGCTATCATTGCCAAAGAAGAGAGTGACCCGGACATCGCTGAAGGATGGAAGGCGGCATTTTTGGATCGGTATGGTCTTCAATGGGGGGTTGACTGTGAGAAAGGAGATGAACTAAAGTCTGTTGATGCCGAGCTCATCCGTGTGTTCAACATCAGGGCTCATGTTCTTCATGGCTGGGGTGAAACCCGCACGGAGATACTCGATATTTGTGATCAATGGATAAGTCATTGGAGATCTAGCCGGACGACCTACATCCCCTCGGGGGAGTACCGTAAGCTATGCCAACTTTATTACAGCTGATCTTGCATGTGATATAAAATTCGTCGTGGCTGAAACGTTTGCTTTTACCTGTGAGGTCTTACCTCTAATATTTGAAAATGAGGTTCTATCAATGCTATAATTTGTTACTGTAAATTGCTTTTCATAGTTTTAATCATGACTATGGCGCGGTGGCGGCATGGTTGATCATTCAGATATATTTACGCAGAGCAATGGGCGAAGAGTAAATTTACCCTACATATATAGTCCACTGTGTTCTCTGGATTAGGTGAGGCATTCCTATCTGAGCTGCCGCCACTATATGAGTGCTCCTGACTGCCTAACCTGAAGAGTGATGAATGCTCATGTGTTTCGTCTCCGACCTAGTGGTTTATGTTCCCAATGGTCACAGTTTTGATGGTCTGGTACTCGGCCATGCCGTACTTGCTCCCTTCAAGCCCATAACCACTCTCCTTGATGCCTCCAAATGGCGCCTCGACAGCGCTCACCTTGCCCGTATTCACGCCACACATACCAACCTGTATCTTCTGTGCAATGCGCATCGCCCGCCCAATATCTCGCGAGTAAAAGTAACCAGCGAGACCAAATTCGGTGTTGTTCACCAACTCTATCACCTCTTCCTCACTCCCAAAGGTAAAGATTGCCGCAAGAGGACCAAAGGTCTCATCCGTAGCAACCGCCATTTGCTTCGTCGCCCCAGTCAGCACCGTAGGCTGGACAAAGAACCCATCACCGAGTCCTTCCAAAGCAGCAGTCCCAATCCGCACCTCAGCACCCTTGCTAACAGCATCCGCAATATGCTCCTTGACCTTATCCACCGCAGACCGATTAATCAATGGGCCCTGCGTTGAATCCCTAGCAAGACCAGGCCCACATCTCAGCTGCTCAACCCGTCTAACGAGTCTACTCGTAAACTCTTCAACAACACGCTCCTGCACATAAAACCGATTCGTACACACACAAGTCTGCCCCGAACAACGGAACTTCGACAGCATAGCCCCCTCAACAGCAAGATCCAGATCTGCGTCCTCAAACACAACAAACGGAGCATTTCCACCTAACTCAAGACTTACCTTCTTCACAGTCCCCGCAGCCAATTTCGCCAACGCCTTCCCAACCCCCGTTGACCCCGTGAAACTAAGCTTCCTAACTAACGGATTGACCGCTAACTCAGAAGCAACATTTCGGTCTTTTGTGGGGACAACCTGAATCACCCGGGCCGGGAACCCAGCCTGAACAGCCAATTTAATCAACGCCAATGCCGTGAAGGGTGTTTCAGACGGAGGTTTGATAACGACTGCACATCCCGCCGCCAACGCAGGCGAAATCTTCCGCGTTATCATCGCGGCCGGGAAATTCCAGGGTGTGATGATTCCGCACACACCAACTGGTTCTTTGAGCGTCATGACCACAGTGTTTGGAGTCGCTGATGGGATTACGTCGCCGTAGGCGCGGGTTGCTTCGGCTGCGAACCAGGAGATGAAGCTAGCGGCGTAGACGATTTCGTTGCGTGCTTCGGCGAGGACTTTGCCGTTTTCGAGGCAGAGAAGGGTTGATACTATAGCCACAGGTTAATTTTGTTTGTGGTTGTTTTGGTTGGGTTGGGTCGGGCTTCAGTACAATCATCTATATTGAACATGACAAGATCGTGCCATTTGGTGAGGAGTGAGCCGCGGGATGCGGCAGTTGTCTCCGAGAAGTAAGTTGGCTGGGCGTCGTGCGCGCTCTGGATGGCGGTTTGCATAGCGCTCATGTCGCAGTTTGCGACGGTGCCGAGCACTGTCGCGGTAGAGGGTTCTATATAGTAAATAGAGATTAGGGGGTATTTGGAAAGAGGTGTTTGGGAGAGGTACTACATACCATAGACATCAAATGTCTTGTCCGTTTTCAACCATTCTCCATCAATGAAGGCCGAGTTCTGGATGAAGAGGTCGGATTTGTTCAATGTGCTGATGGCGTCCGCGAATGACATTTTGACAGATTGCAATAATATGAACTGGGATTCTCGTATACGAGAATATAAGAAGAGGGCTGTTTCCTTATTTTGTTATTTATGTACTCCAATATTGGGATAGTTAGGGTCTTGGGGATGTGTGTGGCATATGGGGCTACATTATGACTGTCGCCGTTTGGGGTAAGAAACAGGAGCTTGGGGAGAATCCTCAAATCTGGTATACCCCACATACAATACAGTATAAGTCCATTTCGTCGACTTGTCCAGGCCGTCCAGGCCGGAAACCATCGGATTTGTAAAAGCCCTGATGCGTTTGTTTCCGACTACAGAGTTGTTATATGTGGGGTGATATTATCGTCAGCACTCCAGATTGCAGAGGTACAGAGACGATTGAACAACCTAGATAGAGTATCACTCGAAGTCCTGCCTGATGCTATTTGTATGTCTATGTTACTAGTAATGCGTGGACTTTGCTGGACGGTCTAATGCTGACGATAATATCACCCCACATCACCATGGATGGCATTGAAAAGGTAATCCCACTTAGGAGTCAGGACGGTTTCTTTTATCGAATACTCACTATAATTAGGCCGTATATCAATTTTTACATTGTTACTTTCCTACATCAAAACATCTATGACTACAAAGAGTTGGTGTGACCGGCCTGACTTTGGGCTGTTGCAGATCTGAGTACTCTGGAGCTATGTGGGGTAACCCTACCCAACTACGCAGTAAACGTCTCTCAAGAGAGCCGATGGAGTTATTCCCTAGTGACAAAAACACATAGTTTGAATATCCTCTCCAGACTATCATAATTATCTAATTATCTGCCCTTGTTTAACTCTAGCAAGATGGGTTACCCTCCCCACGCTTAAGTACGAAGCGTGGATCTCGAAGATTGCGGTAAGTTCTACCAAGGGAGGGTCGAGTTTCTCTCGTTAGACACACGGCCTCGTTTGTCGCAGATTTAAGTCTCAACGTTAATCCTTGCACCGGCGAAAAGCGCGGCTACTGCCTTGAAGCAGTAGCTGGAGATAGATGAAAGGGGCGAAGCTAGTTATCATCCATAGGGCTGGGAATGAGATTTGTGCGGATAAGGCTAAGGATTGTTTGGCTGCTCTTGTGAATTCCTCTACTTAATCTGGACTTCCACGGCCCTACCGACATTGTCTAGATTTGCTTAGCCATAGCTGGTTGTGGACTTGCGTTGGAAGACTGAACAATATACTTTGTTCTATTCTTAATATCCATTAATCTGAACCTAGAACCAAATTCGACAATCAAGGCTAGGTCGTTATAGCTAGGACTGGAAGGGCGGTTCACTCAACACACACATATATCCACCTGTCCTAGAACGGGGCTTGCTGTCTTAGAGCAGCACGAATCTCCCCCAAAAGTTCCTCATCTAGCAAAGATAATAGAACAGGGTCATTCTCTTTCTGAATCCAAGTGGTGTCATGGGCCAGGGCAACATGAACCCCCAGACTCTCTGTTTCTCTTATCCGTGCCAAGGTGTCCTTCGCGGCAGAGATATCGACATGGAGACAGGAGGTAGATCCATCCGGGAGCTTGAAGCTCCCAAAATTCTTTGTACCATCCAGCAACGCTCTCCATTACTGTTAGTGTATTTTTTCAGCAAAAGAATCAAGTAGCATATACCGTGAATGACAACAATCAGAGCCTAGCATAATCCATTCACCATTTGGCAGCCTAACACACGCACATAAGTTACCTGGCATATGACCAGGAGCTTGAATAACCCAGAAGCTCCCATCTCCAAGGAAGTCCATCGCATGTGAAAATGGCCCGAGAGGGACCCAGGGACCTTGTAATATCTCCCAGCGCTCTGTTGCTCGTTCCGGGTCAAAATATCGTCCATCCCATGCCGAGGAGGGATCCGCAAGGTGGCCTGGGGAGCAATATTCTGATGTGCCTGGGCCAAAGAAGGCGGTTGCATTGGAGAATGTCTGTCGTATCGGGCGACAGTGATCAAAATGCGCATGACTAGCAATTGGGATAAGAGAACAGTTATTAATGGAAACTTGGATTGTATACCCACCTGAGTATAACGGTGTCGATTTCATCCACTCTAACTCCGTTTCGGCGTTCAATTTGCTCTGCAATCGACTGCCGGGGACCCTCGCACTGGGCTTCTTTCAATACACCGTTTGCAATCACTGGAGGATAATCGTCTGGAATCTGTTTCGAATATTACATTTTTGTAAGTGTCGAGCGGGATATACCATAGGGAAACAGACACACCGAGGATAAGCCTAAATCCCAGATAATGTGTCGCCGGGATGTTGGATGATAAATATAAAAGGCCCAATTGTATAACCGAAATTTCTTTGCTGGTTCCCCAGCATGAAGCTTATGGTATTCGGCTGTCATGCTGCCTCCGTTGAGGAGCTGGACGTGAACGTATGCATCTGTGATGGGGAGTCTAATTTGGTTAGCCATGATATTTCTGTTTCTTTGATTTTGATAGAGCGAAGGCCGTTCAGATTCAATCGATGAATGTAGAAGATTACATTTTAGGGCAAAATGTGGGCATATATGGGGTACCATATATGGGGTACCCCACCCAGATGTGTTTGGGATTATATTGATACATTGATACTCATAGGCACTTAATCATGTCTGTTTTCTAATGAGTCACTGAAATATCTCAATTAATTGGTCAATAGCTAGAGCCATATACTTTTATCAACCTTAGTCCCCCCCACATAGTGCGCCCATGCGACCATGCGACCATTCTCTATTTTTCCCATAGAACGCAAAGCAAGCCAGTCCCTCGTCAAGTAAATCCTTGACTGCGCAGAATTTCCTGATGTAAATCAGTCGCATACGCGGTGACCGCGGCTTTTCTGCTCATAATCGGATCCCACAGTGGATCAAACATCAGTCCCGAAGACAGAGTAAGGTCAACACGAGAATAATTGCAATGTTGAGTCTGTCCCGCGGCAGATGACTGAGAAGGGGGCGTAGCTGCTTCATCAAAGTCACTCCCGGCGCTACTTGGTGTTTCTTCGTATGTGCAAAAGGATTCTGAAGTCTCCCATGTATAGTTGGAGTCCATGCCGTATGTAATTTCTCTGTGCATAAACTCGGTTTCTGAAAGTGGTGTCGGGTGTGGTACTGTCAAGTGGTTGGCAGAAAGAGCCTCTGAATGGAGACTAGTGAAGTCCAGAATTGTGAGAGCTTGTTGTATTCTCTCGTTTGGGCTAGATGAGGTTGTATATGGGCTGTAGGTTGAAACTGGTTGCTCGGTCACTGCAAGCGCGGTTCTATCCTCTGATTGTACAGGGCCCGGGCCTCGTGAATCTGCGGGGGGATCATAGTGGTATCTTGACGTGTTTCCTGGTACTGCCGATACAATTATATTTTCATCAGGCACAGTTCTCGGGGAGTATTCCGTTTCATGGGCCGCTTTCTCGTGGCGGATGGCTGTATCTCTGTAAGTCGGCTGTTAGACATAAACGAGGCTCAGAGGCCTAGCATGAAGCCTCGGTGATGATCCAAATACACATACCTTCTTGCATAGGTTCTCTGACAATACCGACATGGGAAGGGCCTTTCTCGTGTATCTAGACTCGGGTCAGCTTGTTCTTTAACAGAGTGGACCGGAACGGGACAGGGACTGACGACGACTGCGTTGATGGCGTGCACAATGTTGACTCCGTTTGAAGGTCATGCTGCAAAAGGGACAAGTGTGCATTTGAGGAATTCTTCGTTTTCCTCTCAACGATTTGGGAGGATTATTCATCGCGGAATGTATGGCTATGGAGAGAACGTCTCGGCAAAGTCATGAAAGACATAATATCTAGGTAGAAGTACAGTTTATAAAATGTCATCGAGGAACTACTAGAGCTGAACATAAATGGGAATATGACAAAGAAAATAGTCATCTCTCCTGATACTCTCGGTGAAGGCTGAACTGCCCATGCAATACCCCACATGGACGTCCATGTGGGGTCACAGAAATTGGAACACAATATACACGTGAGTATATGGCCTATGGGACACATTGTTCATGTAGAGATGATAGTAGGGGATTCTAGCGGATACTATTAACTATATCAGGGAAGAGGACAGAGGCAATTGGGATATACCGGTCCAGACCAAGACCACAAATTAATCATGAAATGATGCTTGTAAAATAGATTGGATAGAACCATTATAACCCAGAGAAGATTTCCATCCTTGTTTATCTATATGGTTTTCCTATCACTTCTCAAAGTCTCTCAATGGCCGGCCATGAAGATTCCCCAAGCCCTCGACAAGTTATCCGCTGGGATACTCCGCGTCAGATTCAATATTGTTTCACTGCGTTCTGTACGAGAGTCCGATACCAGAACAGTCGTAACTTTCCCTGAGGTGTCTACACCTCGCCCTCCATATACGCGAGCGTACAAATCCTTGGTCTCCCATTTGAATGTGGGCCATGGTGCATGTCCACTAGAGAATGCGATCAAGTCACGCCCAAACTGAGATGCAACGGCACGCTGAGGCTCTGAAAGTACCTCGTTATAGTTCTGGAATAGGTAGGAAACATCCAGGATATGATTTGCATGGCCCTTCCAGGGACCATCCCAGGAGTTAGGCTCGTTGAAGTGGTATATGAAGGCCTTTCCAGACCAACAGTGCCCGTAATTCAGGACGGGCATAAAAAAGGAGATGTCATTTGCGAACCGCAGAATTGCATGCAATGCGTCCACACCGGGTATATCTTCAGTAATGGCGTATGCCGTGAGGACCTGTTTTGCTTTATCGGCCGAGCCCAACGATCGTGTTAAGGATTCTCGGAAGGTGGGCACGATCCCGTCTTTCTCGTAGTTTAGCATCATAGACAGGATGCTTGCCTAGGGCTGGTTAGTGCATATTCGCTTTTGGTCAGACAGGGCTCTCTCACATCCATCTGGCAGTCGCCAATCATGATTTCCTCACACCATTTACGGCCTGGAATATCAAGGGAGCCAGAGGAGCCTTGGTAAATTTCAGCGTATGAATGCGTTTTGAGGCCCAGCTCCCCTCCAGCTGTTGGGAATAGGGCATCATTCGGCGAGCCGGCCTCAAGCAGCTTCTGAGTATCCATTTGCACCAGCGCATTGACTCGTTCAGTAGTTGACAACGAGGCCAGGCCTAGCCGATTAATAATGCCATTGTATGTCAACTCGGCTACCTGCTCAGGAAGAGGTTGCATAAGTAGATTGGTGCCGCTCATACTGACCATCCGCTTGAACAAAGGCACTTCCGATTGAAGATGATGTGTTGCGGAAACTAAAACAACATCAGTGTCAGCTCAGGACTTGTACAGCAAATGGGGATATAACAGACCTCCACCAGCACTCTCACCAACAACTGTTACATCATCAGGATTGCCTCCGAATCCGACAATATATTTTTTTATCCATAGCAAGGCAGTGCGTTGGTCTTGGAGCCCATTATTCGGTTTGTATCCGTGGGAAACCAACTCCGTTGAAGTCAGGAACCCCAATGCCCCAAGGCGATAGCTGCAAACACCCGTCAGTGATAATTCTTATAGCAGAGACTGAGACCATACTTGATGTTCACTCCAATGACGGGTCGTTGTTCTTTTACGGAAAGTTCAACAAGATGCCGGAAATCATACTGAGGCCAGGAATTGGCGCCAATCGCAAATCCTCCTCCGTGAATAAAGACAATCACCGGTAGGTTGTCTCCAGGCGACGCAGCCTTTGGCGTCGTGATGTTCAAATTGAGGCATTCCGTGTCGGACTGCTGGAGCTTGGGAAGTGGGAGTGCTCTTTGAATGTGACTAAACTCAATGTCGACACCGTTTGATGGTGATGGGACAGAGGGGCTGTGATCATCAGAACTCGCTCACCATCATTCATGGATATAAAATTACCCCGCGATTGTGGCATCTATGACACCGTTGGGATCACCTTCTGAAAGAACAGGTGGCGCCCATTTCCCAGCCAGGGTAGCATAACGAAGACCAAGAAATTGGCGGGTGGAAGGCAAAGTCAAACCTCGCACGACACCCAGGGATGGGTGGGGGAAATCAGTCTCCATATTCATATTAACTGAGATAATCGCAATATGTGGATTTAACGTTGCTGTGTCGTTGAGTGCCGGTTTTATGTACTTCTCCTGTCAGGGTGGGGTGTGGGGGACATGTTGGGAGCATATCCCGAAAGAGAGACATCAATAGTTCAACAGCTGTTTTCATCTTATCTCCAAACAAAATGACTGTCGACAACCTCCTCTCTGTCCTGACTGCCGACCGTCAGGATCGGCGTTATCTCTATTGTTGGCCTGGTATGCTCGTCCTCTCATGCTGGCAGGTAATCGGGTCCTGGACCTTTTTCACTACCTCCCGATTTAGAGTCTCAATTTAGACCCATGCCAAGTAGTCGGTTATTCAGTGAAGTTAAGCGCTAATATTCACCCCACTTTAGTTACGAGCATGGTCTCTTCCTCGATAGTTGCGTTGTGGGGTGACGGGACAACGGAGGTTGACAACTTCACTCAAGCGAAAGATAGTAGTCTAGAAAGGCGACATATTTCCCATCTATTATTTTTTATTTGATGTGAGTGTCATCTAAAGGGCTTGTTTCCATTGCGTTTGAATAATGGCCAGGGGAAAAATCCTCCCCACAGCGCTCAATGAACTGGGCCCCGGGGCCCCTGGATCTGCTTAGGTAATACTCAGTGGGCAAGCCCGTTCCCCAAGTGGAGACTAAAACGGAAAGGGCACTAGCCTACTAGGTATATGTATATTTACTTTTTGTACCATAGAGCTTTCGTATAATGATCATTATCTTGGATCTAGGGGCTTGCTACTGCCCAGTTCTAGCGAGTGCTTTGCTTAGAGTACATCAGAGATATTAATATGATAATTCAATTCGAAAACCCCAATGCTCGTGCGGGTGAAAAACTTGGTATCATCTCGAAGGCTGTAAAACAGAAGATCAAAGAAAGCAAGTGGATGACAATCGCATCCTAATAACTCCAAATCCGCCGAAAGAACATGACAAACCTCCCGAGGTTGAGTTCATCAGTCATCGTCATCGCCGTAATCATAGTCACTTTCATAGTTGCCTGCAAATGCGTCGTCGAGGCCATCATCCTTCTCGTCGTCGTCATAATCATCCTCTTCGTCATCCTCCTCAGGTTCTGCGTCGACCTTATTGACGAAGCCATCCTTGGCCATGGCCGGCTTTGCGTCCGCAATTGGAGCGGTGGACGGTGGAGTAGGCAGTGGTGCTGTAGAAGCAGGACGGATGAACTTGGAATCGAACTTGGCATCTGATGGAGTTGCACGTCGGGATCGTGCAGCTGCCTCTGGCTCGATGCTGGCGCTGCGCCGTGAGATGATGCTTTGGCTGCGACTTTGGCTGCGACTTTGGCTTCGGCTTATGCTTTGTGACTTGGCATCTGCCGCTTCGCCGCCGTACAAGGTGTCCAGAAGAGAGTAGTTGATCTTCTTACTGTAACCTCGGCGCTCGAGCATGCGACGTGTCGCCTCAGCCGGTGTCGAGGCACGGGAGCTGCGGCCATCTTCGCCCTCGCCCTCCAGGTAGGTAACATCTCCAAGACGGCCACGGCGGCGCTTGCGTGGTTTGCGAGGTGCGCCTCCACCGGTTTCCTCTTCCTGGGCCCGCTTTAGGGCTTTGGCTTGTTGAGTACGGAGGTACTCCTTGTTTTCCGTCACCCAAATTGACTCCTTGATTTCGACCTCAGCAGGCAAGAGCAGACAGTTGGCGACCTCGGGATCATCTTCAAATTCTGCGGCGTCAATTTCAGCGCTGTCAGAAACAGTGGGCCGTGGCGGTTGGTCGGAGCCAACACTCTCAATCATAGTTGAGCCTTGAGCAAGCATAGAACGCATTTCATCTTCCAGCGCCGCTTCGGATGCAACCTGCTCGGCAGAAGGTTCTGGCGTGGGCTGTCGCTTGCCCTTACCCTTGGAGTGGATCGGTTCGTTTTTGATATCCTCAACAACTTCGTTCACTGCCTTGGCAATTACTGATGCACGTCGAGGGTGATTATTTGCAGTCAAAGCCGGGTCAATCGGGAGGTTAGGAATAGCGAAACCGTCGGCATCTACACGATGCGGCTGCACTGATTCCGCTTCACTTTCGGCTGGAGAGTCGTCATCTTCGAGTTCCGCCGCAGTGTCTGGCATCTTCTTGATACGGCTTTTCCGACCTTCTCGCCCGCGAGTGAAGGACGGGGGATCGTGAGTGTTCTCTAATTGGACCGAGCGGAATTGATCAACGGTCAATTCACCACTCTCGGTGGAACCGAACTCGTTCAAACGCTGACTAATAGTGGTTTCTGTCACTTTGACGATATAGACGACCTCACGTACGGTCCGGCGGAAGTTGTTCATGCGCGCGGCAAGAATCAGTGCGGCACCACATAGACCAGCTGGGCGTCGACCGGTGGTCATCCAATCGCGGTTCATTCGTTGAACGATCCTGACTGCCTCGCCAGCCACCGCCATGAGAGATGGTCCGAATTCCAGCTGTTTGGCGAAACGATAAATCAGACTTTCGGGGTCAATGGGGTTCATGAGAAAGACGTTGCCACCTAGGCGGAGTTCATCGAGAAGCGCCTTGTATGTACGACCAAGTTTGAAGACGTTGATCATCAACACATCGGCAAAATCAATCAGCATGACAGTATTGCCATTTTGGCGACGGCATGCAATGTATAAGCAGACCGCAGCTACCGTCTTGGTGCGACGACCTTGAATAAAGTTTAGTCCCACAGCAAGCTTGAAGACCTGACCAGCAGCCTTGGTTGCACTTTCGGGGATAGTTAAAGCTCGAGAAAGTTGAAGCATATATCGGTTTCCGGTTTGTTCGGTCATTTCCCGGCTCTCCATGGCGCCCCCGCGCTGGAAACCTGGGCCGTAGCTGCGTACATGGGTCTGATCTTCTCCGACGAAAGATCCCTGTACCACAGCTGCACCGGACGAGGATTCACCGAATGTGACTTCAGAAACGATGTTGTTCTCGCTGATGACTGTACCACAGCCCGTACAGACCTTCATGCCTGCATCTTCCACAATGTGCGGAGCAGGGCATCCTGGGTTGGGACAATTAGATGTTTTTGGGTGTGTTGTCGGGCGGGGTGGTTGAGGACGTCCAATAGACGTTGGACGAGTGATAGGTGTCGAGTTGGGAGGTTTTAGACTGGCCAGTCGTCCCACAGGAGGCCGGGGTCCGCGGGGAGGGATTGGACGCGTGCCGGATCTGGGTGCCGACATTGTGGGTGAAGTGAAAAGTAGTAGGCCTCAGAGGATAAATGTAGACAGGGGCACTCGATGGAGGCCGAGTCCTCACAGCCTTAACGTTTCTCGAATGAGCGTCGCGGTTTTTTTTTTTTTTTTTGTAGCGAAAGGTTTATCAACTGTCACGAGAGTCGCGATAAGGATGAAAGTGGAAGTGAGAGGAAAAAGTATTCAACCTGCTTATGTAATGGGGAATTTTGCAGAGCTCCAGGGCTGCATTCGAACATACGAGTTCTTGAATTTGATTGGTTACCGATAACTGAATCAAATTCCAAATGAACAATTTGCTCAATCAAGTTCCTTGTGTCTATTGTTAATTGTATGAATTGGATTCTATTGAACCACGTGACCTTAATTGGTTCATGACACGCTTGCCCAATTAGGCTTAGCGCCATCTGATATTTTGTTCGCGCCACCCGTGCCTGAGATTCTAGGATGATCCATGATGATCACAGCATCATCAGACTTGATACTCACACGTGGAGTAGTTGGTTTTACAATGAATACGGAAATCCGGCCTCATTCTTGATGGCTAGCCTCGACACTAGGGGAATACTACATAGGCGCCACAGGGGTGGTCGAGATGTCTGGAATGCGCTATTTGTGCGTAGTTTGGAGTCATCACGCACAAATGTCGCATCTCAGCCATGTTTCAACCAATCCACCCATTTCTAGGATTTTCCTTTCTTTTCTTCCTTAATGAAAATATAATATTGGATTGCAAATCAAATCCCGTTCCCGGCTTTTGCTTTATATCATAAAACGCCGCTGGTCGCTCTTCCCTTCACCTTGATACCAGACTGCTCTATGAACACAGAATCCCGCAAACTGCCTGTTTCCATCCTGGCTTGGACAAGATCCTTTAAGTATCAACTTTGCGAGGGTTTGAAAAGACCGAAATATCTCACACTATAACTCGTCTTTCGGCTGCAGAGATCTTCGTCGATCATGTCTTCAGGAACCAAGAACCAGTCTTCTGATCTGGAGGCAGGCCATCAAGGCTTGGATACCCAGACCAGTCTGTTCTTTGTAACGAATGTGCACTGCACATCATGTGTTGCATATATCACCGAAGTGCTCTCCGAGACACCTTCAGTCGGAAATATCGAAGTCACAATTTTGACCCACGAAGTGCGTGCGAGCCATAGCACCACCGTTCGGCCGGCCGACCTCGTCAACGCGCTGATTCATGCCGCATTCGAAGTACATTATGTAACGACATATGATCAACGAGGAAAGCTCATCGCGGAACTCGATACCTCTTCCTGGAACTACCGCGGCTCCACGTTCTTCTCCTCGCCGCGAACCTCTGTTTCTAGTATCTCATCCAATATCAAAGAGCGAATTCAATCCAACAGTCATAAACGACATATTGCCAACTGCGATGCATGCAGGAAGGAAGAAATAGAGGCCCTTTCTCGTCATTCTTCTTCTCGAACGGAGCTGGGACTTTTGGATGAGAAGTCCTCACAGGCTCCCTTCCGGTCATTGAACAAGCACCACGAGAAAGACATCACTGTTACAAATCTTGAGTCAACACCAGAGAATGCTGTGCAGGAGAGTCTCCGTTCATTCGCCACCTCTGAAACAAAGGTTCAACCCGATGTGTCTGCTCCAAAAACACCCACAGGCATAGCAGAACTTCCCAGTCCATCCGCTGAACCAGCCGATGAGTCCACCGCACATATTAGCATTGGAGGAATGAGCTGCGCGTCCTGCGCCAATAGCATCACCGCACAAGTCAAACAGCTTGAGTTCGTGAAGGAAATCACTGTCAACCTTCTCACCAACAGCGCAACAGTAACTTATGCTGGACCTCGCGACAATGCCGACGAGATTGTTGAGCAAATCAATGATGCTGGATTTGAAGCATCTCTTGACGAGGTGAACCAGATCCCCAAATCGCCGGCATCTACAGAGTTGGCAGCGAACTATGTCAGCGAGATTGCAATCACCGGCATGACCTGTGGCTCCTGTGTTGGAGGGGTGACTCGAGGACTTCAAGAACTTCCTTTCATTCGCGATGTGTCTGTGAATCTGCTTTCCCATAGCGGGAGGGTGGAATTCGAAGGCCGAGACAATCTTGATAAAATCATAGAGAAGATTGAAGATCTTGGATACGATGCCGCCGTCAATAGTGTCTCCCCATTGAAAGTTGGCACCGAAAAGCTCAGCACTGCCCAGATCAGAACAATCTCTATACAAGTGGATGGAATGTTCTGCCACCATTGCCCACAAACTGTTTTGGGGGCAGTGAAATCGGTTCCCGGTGTCACCATCGAGGAGGCACTCTCCGAGAAAACCCCCATCCTCAAAGTCACCTATACTCCACAGCCACCTTCGCTCACTGTTCGCACAATAATTTCAGCGATTAGCTCGACGAATGACAATTTTCGCGCGACTGTCTACCACCCTCCCAGCATTGAAGATCGGTCTCGTGCGATCCAGCATCATGAGAGGAGTCGGCTGTTGGCACGATTGCTTTTCGTCTTTGTCAGTGCCATCCCGACTTTCTTGATAGGCATTGTATTCATGTCTCTTGTCTCATCTGAAAACTCTGTTCGAATGTATCTGGAGCAACCTATGTGGTCTGGCAGTGTGACCCGTATCGAATGGGCGCTGTTTATAATGACAACCCCGGTCATGTTCTACGGTACGGATGTGTTCCATGTCCGGGCACTGAAGGAAGTTTATGCGCTATGGCGGCCTGGAAGTCGGGTGCCGATCCTTCGGAGATTCTACCGTTTTGGTAGTATGAACCTTTTGATCTCTGCAGGCACATCAGTGGCATACATCTCGTCCTTAGCGGTACTTATCGCCGATGCAGTTGTGGGTACCAAGTCCAGCCCCCATAGCACGACCTATTTCGACTCGGTTGTCTTCTTGACTCTGTTCATTCTTGCTGGTCGATTCCTCGAAGCCTACAGCAAAGCCAGAACTGGCGATGCTGTCACATCTTTGGGCAAACTTCGACCTTCAGAGGCACTGTTGTCTGATGACACTTCCGAAGATGGAGTGAAGCGTACGAGTGTTGACCTCCTGGAGGTTGATGACGTCGTCAGTATTCCCCACGGAGCCTCGCCTCCTGCAGATGGAGTCATTGTCGACAGCGCGTCGTACCAATTCGATGAAAGCTCCTTGACAGGAGAATCCCGACCGGTCAAGAAAACAGCCGGCGATATAGTCTATACGGGCTCAGTTAACGTCGGCCAGCCGGTACGGATCCGTATCACTGAGCTCGGTGGTTCATCTATGCTTGACCGAATCATCGCCGTGGTTCGTGAGGGGCAGAGCAAGCGTGCGCCCCTTGAAAGAGTTGCGGATCTTCTCACTTCGCATTTCGTCCCTATTATCACTCTGATCGCCATTTCAACTTTCGTTATTTGGTTGGCACTTGGTCATTCCGGTGTGCTTCCTGCAGATTACCTCGATGTCGCACATGGTGGCTGGACATTTTGGGCTCTGGAATTTGCAATCTCAGTGTTTGTGGTGGCCTGCCCCTGTGGCCTGGCCCTTGCAGCCCCTACGGCGCTTTTCGTCGGGGGCGGCCTAGCAGCGAAGCATGGTATCCTGGTCAAAGGTGGTGGCGAAGCCTTCCAAGAAGCCAGTCGCTTGAATGCAATTGTCTTTGATAAGACAGGCACATTGACTGAGGGTGGAAGTCTGAAAGTTTCGGATCATGAAGTATTGACCAGCGACCCAGAAGTTGCGAAAGTCGCATGGGCTCTGGCTCGGAAAATGGAAGAGAGCAGCAACCATCCGATTGCCCAGGCTATCACTGAATTCTGCAAAACACAACAATCTTCCTCTGTCAAGTCATCAGATGTTCATGAGATTTCTGGGCAAGGCATGAAAGGAACATTTACTGTGTCCGGCTCCGAGCACGAAGGGCAGTATGAAGCTGCAATTGGCAATGAACGTCTTCTCAAGAGTCTCCTGTCTCCTGAAACAGACACATACTTCATATCCAACCTGCTAGCGAAATACCAGTCAGCAGGCAAGTCGACTGCAGTTCTCTCACTCCGTCAAGTACACCCCTCCACCGAGCCATCCAGCTTCGTACCTGCCATTATCTTCGCCACCTCAGACACGATTCGCCCGGAAGCTGTCGAGATAATCTCCCAGCTTCAGAAGCGTCACGTCGACGTCTTCATGTGTACTGGCGATAACCAGACCACCGCCCATGCCGTCGCAGATATGATAGGCATCCCGCGTTCCAAGGTGATGGCCAACGTCCTGCCAGCAGAGAAAGCCAGCTTTGTTCGTCAGATTCAAGACCGTTCCCCGACTTCAACACCAGCCGATGGCAAGACCACTATTGTCGCCTTCGTCGGCGATGGAGTGAACGACTCGCCCGCTTTGGCAGCAGCAGACGTGAGCATCGCCATGGCATCTGGTTCCGACGTCGCTATCAACTCTGCCAGCTTTATCCTCCTCAACTCAGATCTCAGCACAATCTTGCAGCTAGTCCTGCTTAGTCGCCGCGTGTTCAATCGCGTCCGTATGAACTTCGGCTGGGCGGTTATCTACAATCTCTGTCTGGTTCCGGTTGCTGCTGGTGTCCTCTATCCTATTGTTAGTGGCCATCATGAGAAAACTGTTGATGGTGACATGGTCATGGCCAGTGAGCACTGGAGACTGAGTCCGGTATGGGCTGCTCTGGCCATGGCATTGAGCAGTATTTCTGTTGTGCTGAGTAGCTTGGCTTTGAGGATTGACAAAGAACGTATAATGAAGATTGTGAGAAGGAAGAAGTAGATATTTTGGTATTATTTTATTTCATTTTAACGTTATGTTTGTATCTAATATCTAATACATGAATGAATTCAGTACTCAAGTCTGTTTCCAAAGTAACCTCGATAGGAGACCTTTCTAATTCAAATTCACCTCCCCCCAAACTTCCGCAATCCGCTTGCTGAGGTCTTTAGCAATTTTCTTCCGCCCTACAACTTCTGACATCCGAGTCGCTATCATTGTCTCGCGCTCCTTGGGCTCTAGAGCCATGTACGCATCCACCAAATGCCGCGGCGTTGGCCAGATCTGTTGGATCTCAAGGGCTTTTTCGCCCGTCACGCCACGGGTACACATGAGCATCTTTAAGTAGACATCACGAAGAGTAAGAACGTCGGACTTGGAGGTGAGTGCTGAGAACGTCACGAAGGAAACCCCATACGTGATGGTCGGATCTTGAGAGCGGAGATTATCGAGGATGGTGAGGTAGGAATCAGTGGAGAGACGGCGGCCGGGAATGAGGCCAATTTTGCATACTGGAGATGGAGGAACCGTGCTACGGTTGGTATTGCTACCACTGTCTCCGATAGAGGGCGCATCTTCGACCCCGTACATCTTCCGCAGGAGCAGAGTCATGCGCGCTAGGTACCGAATTGACTCATCCAGATGTTTCGTCTTTTTGATAAAGTATTGATTAAGAACCTGTGTCGAGGCGATTGCCGACGCAACCATCTCCTGGTATTGCGCTGCACTCCCGCTAGTCGAGTCAGGATGTGTGACTGCGAACTCTTCGATCAGGTAGATGACGTTTTTGATGCCAGAGCGACGGAGCCGGAATTTTTGTTCGTGGAAGCGGCCATCTTTAATAGACCCGATCAGATCATCCAGGCGTTTTCGCTCAACGATCCAGTCAAGCATCACTTCGTCGCCTTCTTCGCCGTGACTTGTGAGGAAGTTTGGGTCATGGCATTTGGCTACCCACATTGCGTCGCCGACTTCCAGGGCGCGTACTTGTGGTGTGATTCCTTGCTTCATCAGTTCGCCTGAGATGTAGTCGCGGTCTGTGGAGGTGCGGACTTCTCGGGTGTCTAATACGAGCTGGATGGTGAAGCTCTTGGGTGGGAAGAAGATGGGTTCGATGTTGGCTATGTCGTGTTCGGATAAGTTTTCTTGGGCATCTGCCGATGGATCGCCATATTGTTGAAGTGAGTCAAGTTCCTCTGACATTGCTCCTTGCTGCGACTCAGTCGTTGCAGTAGCCTGGGAGTCAGACGTGGCAGTTTGAGCAGCGCCGGGTAATGTCTTTTGGAGACGTTTGGCTACCTCCCAGCCTTCTTCAGAAAGAAGGTACTTCCGAAGTGGACGTCCATGTTCATATACTAGGTCTTTCTGGATGAGAGTTTTCATTGAATTCCACGCAGTGTAGAACTTGGTCGGGTCAGGTGGTGCCGTGAACGAACTGTCGCAGTATGGCTGGGCCACCTCGATAAGGTGAGCCTTCGTCATCCCCTGGGATGCGTTCTCGTCTTGAGTTCCCAAGCCCAACATCAGTGCGTATGGACCAGATCGTAACGTTGGTACATACGGCTTGGCTTTCCGAGGCTTCTTCGCCGGTTGCTCGACGCCGCCCTCTGAGGTTCTCTTCCCACCTATTTGACCTAGTTAAGCGTCTGTTTCTAGGTCTAGGGTACAATTGAAACTACAAACCTTTGTCAGGCGGTTCCGGCATTGGAATGCCATTTTCTTGACAGTGGGCCTTTAATTTATCAGTCAAGCGGTCACACAACTTAGGACCCAGTCCATTCAATTGCTGTGCTTGAGATGGATGTTGGAATTCTAACGGACAGGCTTTCATTGACTCAAAGGCCTTCTTGTACCTGCAAGATGTCAGATATAGCCTTTTCCGAAGGGCGCCAAGAGATACACACACTGTCACGCCTTTGCTGTTTCGTTCTCGAGCTTGATCCAGCCATTCCTTGATCCACCCCAGGAGTAGGGGGTTTGCACACTCCTCGCTCATGGCGAGGCGAGTGTCCAGTGACTGAGTAGCAGATCAGGAGAGCGAATTACCATCAAGGCGAGTTCTCGCCGGTTGACGCGAAGTGATGTTTCCCTTTTGGGAACGCGACTGACACGTGCCGATAAGAGAGATAAGAATATTGATTGCAGAGATGCATCGAGGTCTTTCTTAGAACTGCTCTTAACCCATATTATACTTGGTTTGCAGACTTACAACAGGCTCAGTCTATGTAATCTACTTGCATTTCTCTCATTTTATTTATGCGGCAGTTGGAATTAGGATTTGATGGCCTCCCAGGTCCAATGGCACCAACCTTTGTAATTAACCCGATCTGTAATTAACCCGAACAATTGAGGTCAGCTCTATATTCCCGAGTGTTTTTCCTATCCAGACGTTCTATTACAGTTCTTTATAGGCATATTGTTATAGAATGATCCAATTTGCTCAAGGTTGTTCAACAAATGTCGATTGCCACCATTACCCTGATCCGAGAAAAGATGACGTCGACAATTCAATCCGTGCAAATCACTTGTACAAGACAAGTTTCAGCACCCATGGGTAGCCATTCTATATCAAGCCTATGGGGCCTGAAAACAAAAACATACCCCTCAAAATGATCTCAGAAAATTTACAATCACAGGCAATGCCATCCGCTTCGGTCGACGGTGCTGGACCAACTGACAGCCATGTGCTGTCTCAAGTGGAACAGGATGAGAAAGGCCTCTCACAAAAAGCTGGCGATACAGCAAGCATCACCGATCTCGGATGGGATGCACCACCAGATTCTATCGAGGAACCTTTAGTGGCAGGACTCTCAAATGAAGATTTGTGGATGCTCATTAGACGATTTGACAAGGTACGTACTGACCCACATGAACATCTGCGAGAAGTTGGAACTGACTTTGTTATTTTCCACTTCAGCAAGTCTATCGAGTCCAAGCAATTCCCGATGCTCCCGTGCAGAGACTAGATCTCACGCGCAAAGACGACGATGAATTCTCGCCGGATAAACTCAGAGCTACACTTGAACGTTTCTATGTAACCGTTATTGTTGGTTTCACTAATTGCATCAAACATGTTGCTCGACTACGGTCTTGGAAGGAGCCGCGACGAACCGCAGTCTTTTGCACGGCATGTCTCCATTCTAGAGAAATATGAAATATATTTGTACCGTTACTAATTTGATGCAGGTTTACTTCTTATCATGGCTTCTCGATCTACTCATGCCAGCTACGCTGCTCACTTTAATTGCCCTGGTGGTCTACCCACCATGTCGATCACTCTTGTTCCCTCCTGCTCCAATCCCTCTGGTCAACAAAGACACGGGTGGTGTACAAAAGCCAAAGGCTGGAATCCTCGGATCTGATGACAGTATCACTGGGGCCCCTGAGAAATTCAAGGGCGAGGCAGCCGAGCAAGAGGCCAGTAATCTTGTCGCAGGCGTTGCCAGTGTGGCCGTGGGAAGCGCAGTCGGGAAGCATGATCAAGGGGTCCCTGACGATGCACCTCTCGAGGACGATGTACCCGATGCGATGGAGATTGTCGCCAATACCGCTGATGCGCAAACCGCCGCCCATGGAAAGGTGCCGGAAGACTCCCATGACAAAACACGACAGCCTATGAAGCAGAGCGTGATGGACGCTGCGAACGTTTCAATGCAGGTGGTAGGCGACATCACAGATACCTATGAGAAGATGGCCAAGTGAGTAAAAAACTTGTGGTTCCCTTGCCCATGGCATGGCGTTAAATTTGTTTCATCTAGTGCTCTATCCGCCACATCCCCGTTTCCTCAAATGACTCCCCGTCTACGCCTAGTGGCTGTGTTAGGCCCAGCATTTCTGGTCTCAACACTGACATCATGCTATATATTCATGAAGCTCAGTACACTGTTCATCGGGGTCGCCTTCTTTGGAGACCCTGCCATCAGACGAGGGATTGTGCATCTGAATAGCCGCTTCCCGGAGTGGCAGAAGCTTATTGAGTTACAAAAGTACGCCTTCGAGCCATTCATGTACTCACAATACTAACTCTCAATAGTTCCGTTTTGAAAGGCATCCCAACAAATGCTCAGCTGGCCGTTACTCTTCTGCGCATCGGTGAAGCTAATGCATCACCACTTCCACCCCCTCCAACCACACAAGACAAAGTGTCCTCGCGGCCAGCTTCTTTAAATCATGAGGAAATCAACTTAGGCGCTACTGACGAGGAAATTGAAAAAGCTGCACTGGCCAAGCCCGATGACCATGCCCAGGAGGCCCAAGCTTCACCAGAGAAAAGCCACAAAAGGACATTCGGGTCCAGCGTCTTGGGCTTCTTTCGGGGAACCACGGCCAGTGGTGTCGAGAGCAAAAGAGGGATCGATCGCTTGCGAGCAGCGATCGGTTCACACCAAGCCAAGAATCGTGTCGGTGTCCTACGTGATAGAGGCAAGAGGATAACACCAAATGGCCCTGTGGCATTTGACGCTCGATGCAAAGGCAAGCGCGGCACTGTGATTATCGACTCAACCAAACAGCCTCCCCTGCTGTATTTCACGACTGATACGCCGCAGAAGGGAGACTCACGGTTGGAGAATCGCAAGGCTGGATCCGTTTTGTTCACCATGCCGGTGACTGATATCCAGGAAATGCGAAAGTTAGGCGGTATGGGATGGAAGGGGAAATTGGTTGTTGGTTGGGCTCTTGGTAGTAAGGAGGTGGTTGATGGTTTGCTCATTACTGGCAAACAGCCAGGCCAGTCATACCGACTTACTGCCATGGGTACGAGGAACCAATTGTTCAATCGGCTTATTGCCATCGATGGACAGGTTTGGGCGAGCTGTTGATTCAAATCCCAGGATGCGTGCTAAGAGAATCCCAGGTTTGGAAATGATATCCCTGATCCGATGTTTTGCTGTGTCGGCATACAATCCGTTATGTTTCATTAAACAATGTATTAAGAGATATGAAATCATGAATATAGGTACCTAAGGTATGCTCACTGTATAAGCACTTCCCATTCCAAGACTATGAGAAATCCCGACGTTAAGCTTTCAAGGTTACTAGTAAACTTCGGGCTAGGGGTCACCTTCCAAGGTTGGACTCTGAATCCATTTCTGGCATCGGACCCGTAAACTGAACACTAACCCGGGAGACCTATATCTGAGATTCTTTCACTCTACTCCAACAATCCGAATTACCAAACTACATACCATCGGCCGTGGTGCCTGCGGCACTGTATGGGCATCCGAAAGAGGAACTGCCTACAAAAGGGAAGATGGCAACCCAGAACGATCCCTCCAAAACGACTTCGAAATGCACAACCGAGTACTTCAAAGCCGACAAACCCTTATGACCCTGAGAAAATCCACTCCAGTTCAAATCCAGATACCATCCTGTCAAAGCTTCATCTAGCCAAAGAACAAGGAATGGTGGGCTGCAAATCTAGAAAGATTCCCACAAGGCTATACACCATGCAATATGATCGAAACACAACGCATTCCACCGTTTGGAGAATCAACCCGACACCTTCTTATTCAAACATTCTGCCCGGAAGAGATCAAACAAAAGATCATCACCAGTGAGCCGGATCGAGACTGCTTAATTCGACTATATTTAGGCAGACGTCGAACCCATACCCGGGATCCCTAAACTTTCTCACGGTTCAAAGCGTTCTCCTTATGAAACTACCCGTTACATGAAGCCAACTCGAGGAGCTGGCGATTGCAGCTGACGATTTTCATCAATATGCCCGAATAATGGTAGAAGCACTTGCCATGATACACTGGATTGCTGGCATAGATGCCAATGATGTTGAGTTTGTCCTCGCGCCCTGCAATGATAATGATGGTGGTTGCATCAACAATGTCTTGGGAAGACATAGCATGTGGATGCTAGACTTTGATCTATACAGGAATATGACAATGGACGAGAATGGTGTTGGGAAAGCTGTGAAGGCCTTCTGGAGAAACGATCCCTTTTATCCTCGTCCAGGAAATGCCCTATGGGACACACTCCGAGATCAATACATTCATACCAGTGATGAGTGCCTGGAGCTTTGTGACGTCCAAGAAAGGGGAAAACAACGATTTCTGTCGAGGTTGTTTATTGAACAAGTGGAAGCCTGGGATACCAAATTTAACTCTTAAATGATTAATACCGTGCGGAATTATGGAATGTCTTTTTTAAAGCATATTTTAACAGACCAAAAAGATCACTTCGGATACATCATCTGGGAAGCTCCCAGCTCAGTTCATTCAAGGTCGCATTGATCGTCAGCTCAGTAATTACCTAGAGAAGGACTACGGACACTCGGTTTTATCCTGCGACACTCACTAAGCTACTTTAGGTTTGTCTGTTAGTGGTCACTATTATCGAAGAGCTAGTGTAAATTATTATGGTATCCTTTTTGGGAACATTGTGCGCTGGGCAATTTAAAGACAGTCACGGATATCTCACTTTGCGGAAACCTATGCTTATCCTCCCTCTAGTAATAGTATAGATTGTACAAGCAATAAGAATTCTCACAAATGCTATTTGAGTAAAAGGCAATGGCACAGGTGGTGGTTCGCAGTCTCATCATATATCCTTGTGAATTTGAACCTTGGAATGGGAATCATATCAGATTGCAACATCGACAAGGAAAATTTATACATCGCCCTGGAGCAAAATGTCCCTTGGGAAATAAAGATTGTCAGGCACTGCCCTCAGCTTGAAGATATGTTGACCGGGAAGCAACAGATTCGTCGTTAAAAAGAAATCAATAGCTCCCAGGTCCAACGAAAAAGGAGGCACAGCAATTGACAGATTATCCATCGCCTTGATCTTTGCATCCATCGCCCCAACAATCTTTGCAAGCAAGCCTTTCGATTCTGGATTCGCGTCCACCTTGAAGTTGGCAGGTAATTCGAAAGAAATGCCAAACTGCTCGTTGCCATTCGATTTCCACGTGCCCTTTCCATCAGCCGAAAATGTAAAGACGGCTTGGCCACTCTTTCGAGTCGGTGTTCCCACCATTATACCAACCATGAGAGTATATTCATGGTAATAACCAACATCACGTTTCTCATACTTCAATGTTATGGATGGTGAATTCTTGTCGAGAAAGAAGACGGCTGGGGCTGAGTTCAAATCAAAGGAGATGGCATCAACGTGGTCCTTTCCGTCGCGGAGTCCCCAATCTCCTTGGTTAATTTCATCCATTTGAACGGTTTTGCTAGGAGGATTCGCTTTGAATGTAATTCCAGCTGGCCGAGCATTAGTAGAGAAAAGAAGGAGTCCATTTTCATTGGCATACTTTTAGTGTCTCCTGTGTTTTCGAAGAATCCGATACCCGTGTAGCCTAGTTGCTTAAGCTGGGGCTGCAAATATTTAGTATAGTTGGCAATCATGGACGGGAGTGCGGTAGACCTGCTTCAATAAAGAGCGATGTAAAAACCTCGCGGGAGATGACGATGCTTGCCGTGGAATCTTTAGAAATGGGGCTGGCGTTGGTTATATCATTATCCCCTTGACGCGAAAAGATCAAAGGACTGGACTCAGAAGGGATTCTTCCAGTTGACTGAATGCCCTCCACAGCCATCCAAACGAGGAGTGCCCCTGGGGCCGAATCGTTGCTTTCAACGGTGGTCATGACAAACTTCGTTGGCTTGAGAATAATTTGAGAACCAGCCTTGGTTGCCACCCCGGCAGTATCCTTCTGTACTGTGGCGAGTCTGTATTGAAGTCCTATAGAAGAGATCTGGTTCGTCAAAGTCGTCGCAACGTTTCCCAGGGAGAAAACAGGATTTTTATCCTTATCCAAAATTTGGACTAGAGGAGATGTCAAATCAATTGCGACATCACACTTCGATTCCCCGGAGTTTTCCAAGCTTTGTACGGTACCAAACAGAGAGACAGACCCGCTCTGCCCAGCGACGTTGACAAGTCTACCCTCTGCCTCGAGGAACAGGCCATCTTCGAACATCGACTCAGGCTGACCTGGCTCGGTATAATATCCTCCAAGGGAAAATAGAAGTTGAACGAGGCCAGAGGAAGCCTTCAGTTTCAGGACAGGAGTTTGAAGTGTGAGATCCCGATATTTGATCTTCAATGATGGGTCTGTAGAGTCTATTTCCGATCAGCAGTGAATGGAATGGGATTTCTTTCACCATAGCACTGAGTTCATACCTGGTACGGGGACCTCTAAACTAGGGATTTTGGTCATGTTTTCTGGAAGGGCGTTATGCCGCGCTTCGAGAAGCTTGTCCAGAGAATTCTCATTGTAGGCAACAAGAACACCCCATCCATCCAGCGAATCCATGCTTGTCATCCGCGACACAATCTCCTCCACGGAAAGTCCTGTCTTGCTCGTTGCCATGATTGTAGATGCTTGCGATTGGAGTATTGCAGAAAGTACGAAGTGCAAGATGTGATGGTATAATCCTAAGTGAAATAGAAACGTACAATTCTTCAGGACATTCTCAAAGGGGACCCCTCTCCACCTCTAAAGCAGCAACATTGCCTGTCTTGGACTTTGTGTTTGCCTCCACATGGCGTTTATCCGAGGCGATTCTAGGCGAGAGTCAGCTTTTGCATATGTCTCTTGTGGAGGTTTTTGATGCCGACCCTGGGGACGGCGAGCTGAAAGCTAAACACGTTCGGATACGCCAATCACCCATTTTTCAGCTCGGCTCGCTAAGCCCATTTTGATTCCTCTACAAAAGGCGAAACGTTGGTGTTTAACTTGATCAAAAACCAGTGTAGTAATACCCGAGCAACGCTATACTATTAATACTTTAGGGCAATCGGAGATATAAGCCAATAACATCTTTCTAGAGGAATGGTGCAGGTAAGTGGATTTTGTTGAAGATTATCTAAAAAATTATATAAATTCGGGGAGAAACATAGGACTGAAATCAGGGAAAGACTTAAGTACGATATATTTACCGTTGAGAATACCAGTCCTATTTGAAATATCAGGAATTGCAAGCTTAGCCAAATTTATGACAGTTGTAAATAACTTGGAATACTTACTAAACAAATATATTTTTCTAGGACGGGTATTCAATGTATTCAGTCTTGGTATGTACTATGATGCAGTTCACTGGATCGTAGCGCATAAAGGCCCGCAGAATTTTAATTGAAACCTCTGCTTTCCCCCGAAAACTCGATGGCAATGTCCGTCAGGCTACTCATATCCAAGTCTAGATTATCCTCTGACGACACAGACAGACACCAATGGGCAAAAGGACCAAAAGACGCCGACACCCGACCGTTCGTTTCATCCCGAGCCTGCATCACAAGCGAGCGGAAAGAATTGAGCTTTTGCGTATCGTATCCTATAGACTTGGGAATATCCGCAGCCTCCTTGATGCCTGTAGGGTCATATGTGCAGTCAAGCCTGACTGCATCGTGGTCGAATTCGAAGACCTCATTGTCTTCGCGCACAATGCTCTCAGTTCCAAGGTGAATTAGGCTGAGCCTAAGTTCGGCTTTATTATCTCGCTTGCCCACCGCCGCTCCATAAAGCCAGACTCGAGCTGAGTCAATGCGGACGTCCGCGTGGCCAGCCAAGTCTGCAAATGACTTCTTTGACGTCTTGAGGACGGGTGGAATCGCAAAATATGCTTGATAAAGCAAATACGTGCTTGGAGGCTTGGAGCCTATAACCCGCATCTTTGTAGGCTGGTCTCGGAAAGTTTTGACGAGATCGGACGGCAGGTGGAAGAATTTGCCTCTGCCTTGGGTACTGACCACTTGATCAACTGCCGGCCACACAGTCCCCGGGTTGTCGGAGCGGTTCGTCAATGACTCTGTGAAAACTTCTTTAAGTGCATCGGTGCGCATCCTCAGTAGATCGATATCCGAGAAATCCTGAGCTGTTGGGATGGCGGCAAGACTGTTGTTCAAGCCCCAGAACTGGAGGGCTCGCTCGCCTCGGTACAAGGTAGACAGGATGTTGTATCTTAAGTCTTGGCGATATTTCAAGAGCCATAGCCGAATTGAAGGCGCGGTCGCGGACAGCTGGAGCTGACCCAGCTCCTCACTTCTGTGTTGGTAGAATTCTTGGTCGGCCAGGGCCTTGGCCAGCAACTGGACGGCGGCATTGTATTCTATGACTGCCGTGTTGCGTTTCTCAATAATGCCCACATAATGTTCAAGTTGTGACTCGATTACTTTGTGTAGTTCTGGAATGGCGTTCTTGAAGCTATTGAGCAATTTTGTCAAGTTTGCCTTTGTCGACAGCAACTTGGTGGCTCCGGGGTCGTCGACGTCAATATGGCCATCCGGTCGGGCTTTGTAGCCTTCAGTTAGCTTTTCGATACTGTCACCTGCATCGCCAAACTGGGAAATGACATATTTCTTGTTCACTGCATGGCCTTCGGTGCTTTGTACGGTTGTTGCAGCCTGGTAGATGCCATTGGATGTTTGAGCGGCAACGTTGAAGGCATCTGGACAAAAGGCGATCATGCAAAGAGCGTCCAGGAAAAATTTGGGATCAAAGTTGATTTTCTTCGCAATCTCTACTTTTGCAGCAATGATGCTCGCCTGGAGCTCGTTGCGCTTGGCCTTGAGAATTGGCGTGTATGCATAGATTTGGCTTCCAATGACCTTCAGCTGACCACCCGTGCTCCCACTGATCACTTTAATGCGGGCCTCCAGCCCTCTCAATTGAAGATCGCACTGTTCAACGCTCATTTGGATTGCGGCTTTGGTTTTTTCCTCGCCTTGAACTTCTTGAAATGACTTTGCAAGCTCCACAGATCTCGGGACCAAAGCTGCTAGCTCGGCCTCGTAAAAGCTGTATGTAAGGCGGGGGGCCCAGAGACCTTCATGACCCATAAAGTCCTTTCCAGTCGCAATCCAGTTCAGACGCTGCACAGCGTGGTCGTGCACCTGCATTATTTGGATAATCGGATCAAGACACAGGTTATTCGCAGCCATTGCAGCATATGCCATAACAAGGGAGTATTTGCTTTTTTCATCATCAGTAAGACTTTGAGTGTCTTTACTATTGCTGAGCTTGAGAAGCCTTTTCACAGCAGGCACAAAGTGAAGCCTCTTGAGGATTCTTTGGTACAGTGCTCCTGCTTCACCATAAAGCGAATCGGTACCAGAGCCCCCGCCACCTGTAGGTGCTGTCATGAGGCTCCCACCTTTGGGCCCGGAGAATCCAGGTGTCATTTTAGACCGTTGTTCCTCCAACTGCTTTTTGGTGAAAGTCTCGAAAGCCTGGCCACCGCTGGCTGCGTAGTACTTCAAGTCCGCCCGGTTCAAAAGCATCTGGCATTGATCTGGGTGGGCCACAGGATCTAGGTAGGTAAGGCTATTTTCGGAGCCTGAAAAGTCTAAGGGATGGACTTTCACCTTGCCATCTAGCTTGCCAGCGTCGCCATTGGATCCCCTTTCGGAGCCCGCTATGGCACCTGCACCGCCTACTCCGCCCTGGCCTTCATATGGATATTAGTCAGAGTGAACTTCATTTTGATATCTTTGTAAGACACTCTTACCCCTTCTGCAGCTATGCATTACTCTCATCTGTGAGGTGAAATGATTGACTCTAGCTTGCAATTCCTTTGTCACGGCAGTGAGAGTAGCTCGTACTTGAGAGTCTGAATCTTGTACAGGGTGCTCTAGCGAGCTTTTTAGCTCTGTGAGGAGAAGGGCAGTGGAATCTTCAAAGCCTTTCCACTGTTCGGTCGTGTAAGGGGGATTCGCTTGTCTGAACTGATCTAGGACATCGTGTGATTTTTGTATCGCATCAAGGGTGGCTCCGCCCATGCTAAGCTCCTTTGAACACCTCTGAACGTCCTCAATGAGGCTGGTGAGCTTCGCGGCCGACTCTGATGGGGATGTGCCGTCTGGTGCTCTATCGAACGATATAAGTCTCAATAACTGTCGAATCTCATCCAATGGCTTTGCATCGGCCAGAGTCTGCTTCGCTAAATCCACAAGCCGGTTTTTGTTTCCTTCCGAAATTGGCACTTTGAAGTCATAGTCTCGCAAACTTGTGAGCTTTGACAACCATCTAAAGAAAGAATGTTAGCGCAATCCTGTGGACAGCGGGGGTTTAGACTCACGGGATATTGGAATCGTTAAGCAAAGACATAACATTATTCATCACGCCAAATAGAGCATGTCCATAATACACAGTAATGTTGCCTTTGAGGGAGTGAGTTAGGGCGGAAACCTTTGTCTAGGGCTGGGCAAAAGAGCGTACCTCCGTCTCCTCCATTTCCGGCCGGACCACCGCCTTTATCACCAACACCTATTGCACCGTTCCCACCGTCGCCACCATATGCCTGAAGGTAGAGGCCGGTCTTCTTTTGTTCGCGATTCTTGTCAGGCAGCAGCAGTGGGTCAAACTCCTCTATGCATAGCACGAGGTTACCGCCTTTCTTTCCATGATTGGTATCACCGATCGCCTGATTGGGGACGCCATTGACGCCTTTTGCCCCAGTTACAGAGATGGTAGCTGTCGATTGACCGGCTGGTAAAAGAAATTTGTTGCAGAAGAGTCCTAGTTCTTTACCTGGAAGGGTGATATCTCCATCGATTTGGATGGTTTCAGCATATATGTGAAGCCTCTGACTTTGAAACTTGTTCAGTGATCGCAAGGTGAAGGTATCCAATGTTTGCAGGAGAACCGTGATTTTATCCCCATTGGTAAAGTAAGAAAACTCATCGTTGGGCGGGCGCTGCGTCCATTCAAGGGGAAGTGGAGGGTCGGTTTTACCGGCCATCTCCTAATCAAACTTCAGAGTAAACGGTAGAGCAGAACTCGGTGTACTTCTGTCTATTGGTTTCTTCGGGGTTATTCAAACGTTGAGGGAGTGAGGTTATATCACTGTGAGATGAAGCCAAGGTGGACATTCACCTAACATTCTCATTATCTTTTATGAGACTTCAAGTCTCAGCTGAGCCACCCTGGGGATTGGGCATTGCCACCACACGGATTAGATCTCTTTGCTATCACCAGAGCAAGCCCAAAGCTGAGCAGCAAGGTTTTATGATAGCCAAGGGTTAGTGTAGCCGAGGAGCACAGCTTCATCCTATTTGGGACTGAGCGAGAATCCCAGCCTTCTGTTTCTGGTCGGCTAGATAAGCCTCCCGGGGGTTTTACTCCTCGTATACCATCGTATACCATAACCATAGAAGTCATTACACGGCAATATTCCATAAATTAACATTGAACAGAAAAAGAAAAGGAGGGAAAGAGCTAGGTAAGATGGGGCCCGCGCGTAGTAAAACCGACAAGTTGTAGCGATCGGGAGGAACTACCCGTTCCCGTTCCTGCACAGATGACACTCAGCGGTACATCCGCTGAGGAATTTGGGCCCATCCCAAGCTGAAAGTCACGTATTTCTCGCCACTCCGGCATTTAGCATGCACCTGACTTGCGAGTGTCGATTCTTGAAAGCTAAATATACTGCTCAAAAAAAAAAAACCACCCCTAGGATAATCTAGACTGGTCAGACATATGGCGAACTGTCTAAAATGACTTGAGCAGTGTGATAGCCCCGGGGCTACCAGATATAAATACCATACCAGGCACACCTTTCGAAAAGCTTTTCTATCTTAAAACATCCTTGGTCACCATTTCCAATTGAACTCCATTTGACTTGCATCCACTCAGGTCATTGCCCTTCATTCTGAAGAGAAACCATCAAATCTTCCATCACAAACATGGCGTCCATCGACGAGAAAAGACCTCTAGCCAACCAATTCCTTGATGCGCTTCACGCAGACCCTCCAAATCCATTTTGTGATGAAATCGAGGCTCTCTTGACCGAGGACGAAAGTACAGAGCGGGACGCGAAGCTTGATGCCGCGCTGAAATCAAAAGGATTCGAGGATTTGACGTGGGCTCAACTCCAACGCTTGCTCAATCCGCCCACACGCGAGGACCAGCCCGGCGAAGACCCTCCGCCTGCAGGCGAAAAAACAGTCTTTGACTTCAAGACCTGGTCTGGGAAATACACCATCATCTCCACCGACTATCCAAACTACACGATGTGGGTTGCTCGTGACGGAAAGATCGCCTTCGGGGAGAAGCCAACAAGCCAGCCAATCTACACAGCCACTGCTACTGAAGGGAAGGATGGAAAGTGGTCGGTGAATTGGGACGCCAAAGAATTGGGTACTTTCAAAATTCAATTCCAAGTGTCCATTCTAGAGAAAGATACGGAGTCAGTCGCGAATTTCCTTGGTCACTGGAACAAGAAAGATGGTGATAAATCCAAAGAAGTGGAGTTCAAAGGCAAGCTCGTGCCATTCACTCCGGAGGACGATTCAGAGGCCACTGCGTCGGATATCGAGCATTGGGCCATGGGAATTGGAGGTTTCATCATTCTTCTCGCAGGTGGAATTTTGATATACAAGAAGCGCAAAGCTGGCCTGTTGAAGAAAGAATTTGAGAAGGAACACCAGGAAAAGATCAAGAAGGAAGAAAAGCTCAACCATGACCGCAGAGTTGATATGGTTTCCGCGAAGTTCTTTGAGACGATGCCAAAGGACATTATTAGACAGTTTGAAAAGGACATATCTGTTAAGTATCGAGACCTCCTAAACGCTCGGTACGCCAATGATCCCACTGGTACTCTCCGGCAAACCGAACATGGGAAGCCACCGCCCGAGGCCGTTGAATTCCACGAAGAGGTCAGGGATATGCTTCATGAATCGGTGGACGTACTTGTCAATTCCAGTACCACTGATATCAAGAATTACATTGATCATTACAACGAATGGGAAAAGAAGGACTCGACTTACACAGATGCTCTGGAAAAGGCCGTGAAGGAGAACGCATTGGAAAAAGCAACAAGAGGCATGAATCCAGCCAATGGTGAATACAAGGGCCCCGCGGCTCTATTGCTCAAATGGGCTGGGGAAACAGGACAGCTGCAACATGCGGCTCTGGAGGCAGAGAGCAACTGGCAAAAGTCAATCACGACCCTCACCGACTACGCCAATCAACAACATGAGTTCAAGAAACTCGTCGATCTCCACCAAAGTCTTTATGAGAAGGTGAGGAATAACGATGCATTGCATTTGAGACAGCAGGCGCTTGATTTGTATAAGGTGGAACACAACAGGGTGAAAGGTCTGATGGGTGATGCGGGCATGGCGGACGTCATAAAGCACATGTTGTCCGAGATAAACACGTATGACACACGGGTGGACGCGAGACATGAGTACGAGCAGAAGGAAAAAGAAGTGCCTGATCACCACGTGACGGAGAAGGGTATGAGAGATTTGATGAGGTTGAGGCATCGTTAATCAAAGATGTCCTGCATGTTTGAATCGGGGATCGAGCTTCATTGCGTTCCTAAAAGTTACTGTGTTAGCTTCGGTCCCAATTGAATGATTTATTCTAAAGTACTAGTTGTGTGACTATGTTTATTCTTGACACCTAACCCTGGACAAAGACTGGCGGATGCACATGGGTGAGCCTGACTCTGAGCGCCCTCATAAAAGCGGCAGCCAAGAGAGCTCCACCCGGCATAGAAAAAACACTAGAGGTATTTAGGTAGCCATATCAATACATGCCATCCTATGCACAAGCAACAAGTCCGGATTAGCATATATAATTCGTCCATAAGATGGTGAACCAGAATAGAACTCACATCTTCCAGCTCCGCCTCCAAGATAATCTCTACCATTTTGTTAATGGCCGCTGCGCGCTCTTCTTTAGTCAAACAGCCAATCTTAACAAGCTCAGTCAAAGCCTCTCCAACCCAGTTCTGGCAGTTCCAGTCTCGATCGTTATTGCTGTTGCGGGCCGATGTGCTAGCACATGCAAGAATGATCTTCGCTTTGGTGATGGATTCCGGCGTAGTACATACAGGAATCCAAGCTATTGGCTGCTCTGATATGGGGTTCTCGGGGGCTTTTTGGAACTCAAAGAAAGGATGTGCGCCGACAACATGAAGCCAGTCATATTGGCCGTCGGGGTAGAGGGTGTGTAGTGCTGTGTGTCGGTATTTGGAGAAGTCTACTGGCACGCCTTTGTACACGAGAAGGGATATTTGTGTCGCCATGTGGGAGCAGTTTCTTATCCGGAGGAGCAACTTGTAGAGTATCTCATCGAGTTGCTTTTCCGATGGACAACCTGGGAGTTGAAGGGAAGTTGGGTTGTTCAGGAAAAGCGGGCGGTGGTGACTTTGTCTGACAACTGTATTGACTGGCCATCGACAGTCCTGGTTTATATCAAAAGCCGCATATACTACGTCTCTCTTTGTAGGTAAAGTGACAAAGAGCTGAGAAGTCAACTAAAAAAATGATATCATTGAAGTTTTTAAATTGAAATAATAATTATTGTGCCAATGACTGTTTATAATCCCGCACAGTCTGCTCAAAAGACTCGTCGCGCTTGAACCCCAAGGAAATGGCCTGAGTGTTATCAAACTGCGTCGGCCATGACTTCAGAATTGGGACCAACGAAGAGTCCTCCTTCTCTGTAAGAAGCGCCAATTTATCTGCACCGCCCACTGTTTCCAATGCATCCATCATGCCCTGGACTGTGACGCAGATTCCAGGCACATTAATCTGGCGAATATGCGGGGGGACAGAGTCGGCAGGAAGACGGAGAGTGAGAAGAAGGTTTTCCACGAGGGTCTTGGGGGAGCATAGCCACGACTTGAACTGTCGGTCTTCAATGGGAATCACACATTTCTTGCCGTCGAGAGGTTCCCGAATCATGCCGGAGAGGAAGGAGGAAGCCGCGGCAGTAGGCGCACCCGGTCGGACGGAGATGGTAGGGAATCGCAGAGTGAAGCCGGTGATGAATTTGCGGCGAGTGTATTCGTTCACCAGCGTTTCGCACACGATCTTCTCGGCGCCGTAAGAAGACTCCGGAGTCGGGATCACGCTGTCGGTCACAATCTCCGGCAGGGGTTGGCCGTATACGGCCTGACTGGACGAATAGATGACTCGCACTCCCGGGCAGGTGAGTCGGAGCGCCTCGAGCAGATTGCGGGTTGCATCGATGTTGACACTCATGCCCAGCTCGAAGTTGGCTTCGGAGCCGGAGGACATGATGCCGTGGAAGGCATAGACGGCGTCCAAGGAAGAATCGACAATGTCCTTGGCTTCTGTTAAGAGATCCGCCTTGATTGCTGTTGCGGATTGCGGATAGCGAACGCCCGCAGGAATCGGGGGTTGATTTATATCGGTCAGGGTGACGCGATAAGCTGGGTCATTCAACAGCTCCTTTGCAAGTAATTGGCCGATGAAACCGGCAGCGCCAGTGATGAGAACGTGCATTTTGTAGGAATAGTGTGATTAACAGGGAATATTGGAGGAAAAGGTGGTTCAATATGTACGTTTAGTTGCTCTCCGCAATTCGCATCAAGTCCGAGGCGATCTTTAGCTGGTCCTCCGCACCGGACTTGGGCCGGCACAACACAATTTCCAAGTGGATCTGCTGTGGAACTGCTGCGCACGAATCGCCTTGGAGTTTCGTCTTTCGGGGATCCTCCAGGGCCCTCTTTTGTTCCATCTTCAATTGGGGGGTTGAATCCGGGGGAATGACTTGTACAAAGTACTGTGGCCATTGGAAGTCATAGGGATCGGCTATACTATGCTTTATTCATGGAGGATATTCAATTCAGGTGATCTCAAAGCCGTAATCTTGAAACTAAACAGCAATGTATAACTTGTATAGCTAGAATGTCCAAGGCTGTGTGGATTACGGGAAAGTCGCGCGGGGGTCCAAGTCACACAATTTGTTTTTTTTCTCTTCCTTTCTCTTTTGATACCCCCATTGGCCATAACCTCATAGAATTGGAATTTCTATCTCGGCATACTCGCGTCTCTGGTCGCTTTACTCCGACCCTTCTCCCCCACTCCGGAGAAGATTTTGCCCCTAACCCGCATGCCGGAGTATCACCGATCATTCTCCAGAGCATCATGGATACCACTCCACTGAAGCGATCTCCAGATGACGCTGGGCTGGAGTCGCCCCGAGGGAGCAAGACACGGTCTGTCCCTAAGATCTCCAAAGCTCGTGCCTGTGAGTCTTCCCCACATAATCTCCGATACACCGCATTAACGGGGAACAGGCGCAGAATGCAAGCGCCATAAGATTCGCTGTGAGTTTCGACCAGGAGAGTCCACTTGTACAAAATGTACCCGTAGCGGTATCAAGTGCGTCGTAAACGACTTTTCACAGAAATTCGTTGATGATGATGGGATGTACGTGTGACCCCGCCCTGGCCCTTTGGTGAGCTTTGGAGCTATCAGGGGCTGCGCTAATCTTATGGCTCTGGTATAGATGGAAATCACAAGCCAATGCGACCATGCTCCAGCTGCAGGCGGCTGTTACTCATCTATTGCGCCAAGGCGGACTGCCAGAGCTCTCAACCTATGCCCCCGGGGACACACTCAATGGCCCTAGTCCTGCCGAGTCGTATCATACCCACCATGCCTCCGTCGATCGGTCACAGACACAAACTAGTCACCAGGAGGGATTGGGAGTTGTGATGGATGTCACCCGGGAGCCGTCGCCGGAGCAAGATCTCCAAGACCCGGATTTGGTCCCTGCTCCTATGCGCAGTCTATACGAGGTGACTAAGTTACGGAACCTGCGAAACAATCATGTCGAGGCACCGAAACAGACATTGCTTGAGGAAGATTTTATCTCGCGGCGATTGATCTCCCTCCATGAAGCGGAGGAACTATTCGCGTACTTCAGTCGCACTATGAACCAGCTACTGTGGGGTGGAATAATTCTTGTACACCGCGATTTAACGTCCGTCCGTCGCGCATCGACGCTTCTTTCTGCTGCGGTTTTGACTGTCGCGGCACTCCATATTCCGAACCGCACCGAAACCTTGAACCGGTGCTACAGCGAGTATGTATCGCTCGTATCCAACATGGCTCTCACGCGGGCCCACACTCTGGATGATATCCGAGGCCTCTGCGTGGGCGCATTCTGGCTATCGGAGTTGAGTTGGAAGTTGTCCGGGCATGCGGTGCGAATCGCGACCGAGATGGGTCTCCATCAAAGTTATCAGCGCCTGACCCGTGGACACACGGATCAGTATGAACGTGCCCAGCTCTGGTATCTGCTTTACGTGTGCGACCATCACTTCAGTATTGCTTATGGGCGGCCTCCTGTCATCCACGAGGATGTGGTGATCCGCAACTATGAGACCTTTCTCGCGCTGCCGATGATCGTCCCCGGAGACATTCGGCTTTTAGCTCAAGTTGCTCTCTTTATGATTTTGACCGAGGCATATCGAATGTTTGGTAGCGATACTGAACAAGCGTTGACCGAGGAAGATTTTGGACAGCTGCGCGTATACAATGTCGCAGTAGACCAATGGCGACTTCTCTGGCAGCCTCGATCTGGTGAGTGATTTCTCGGGCTAATTCTCGCAACTCTCGGTTCTAACATACCATGGAATGCATTACAGCCGATAGCGCCTATGTGCGGACTTATCCATCCAAAGGGGTGGTTCTGCACTACCATTTTGCAAAGTTCCAGCTGAACTCCCTTTCTCTTCGTGCCCTCTCACCATCCAACACACCTGTATTCTCTATGGATCGCAAGGAATCAGCCAACATCGCAATTTCCTCGGCGATGGCATGTCTCAATATGGTTCTTGAGGAGCCTGATATTCGGGATGCGATCGTCGGCGTTCCGATCTTCACCCACACTATGGTTACATTCTCCGCTGTTTTCCTACTCAAGGTCGCAATCAATTGGAACACAGCTTACCTTAGCATCAATCCCCGCCAAGTACGCCGACTAGTTGAGCGTGTGATCGAATTGATGAATTGTGTCTCTGCAGGCGAGCGACATCTTACTCGACATATCGCACGTGGATTGGGCAAGATGCTTGAGCGATTTGACGCTTGGGAGACTGCTTGGCAATTCCAAAGCAATGATACTGCGGTGGAAGGCCGTGAGGTCCCTGGGGGAGCCAACGCCATGGCGCAGGGCTTCCCTCCACCAGATCTGATCTATGGCATGGTCGGCACATATGGATTTGGCCTTGATGAGAATCTACTAGATCCGAGCATGGCCGATTTTGACTTTCTAACACAATGACTATAAGCATTCCAAAAGAAAGGCTTGAATCCAAAGGGATGTCAAGGAGAAGATCTGGAACATTTACTCTAGAATGGAATGTAAATAGTGAGAATCCAGGGCTGTCGACACGCACTCTGGGACCACGCACCGGAGAGCTATCAGCCGTGGACCTGAACCCTAAAGGTGTCACTCCCATGTCGTCACCGTCACTTCCGCTTATGTCCATGGCCCCCCCTTCTTAGACGTCTCATTTCCTTAATTTCCGTCCCTCCTAGACTCGGGACTTTTGCCAATCCAGAACCTTTTCTCTCTCTCTCTCTCCCCCCATAATTCCACCTGTTCCTCCAGCTACACTCAGTTAATTCTCCACCCCCCCTCATTCATTACTATGTCTACCCGCAAGAGAAAGCAAGCCGAGGAGGAGCTCCAGGCCCTTCCTAGCGATGAGAGCGAAGAGGAAGAAGAGTGAGTTGTTCCATCCCGTTATCAATTCTCCCTTTCTTCCCACCCTTGCGCCAATATCCTGCGCATCATTCCACTGTTCTGCGCAGCTATACTAGCTGTGCACCGATTACGACACGATCCCGAAAGCGCCGTGGATTGAAATATATCGCGCGAAACCCCTCAAATACAATTGGTTGTTGCTAATCCAATCACGTTGAATTAGATATGAAGATTCCGAGCCTGATGTAGAGGAAGGAAGCGAGGAGGGCGAACAGGAGGAGGTTGAGGGAGAGTCTGAGTCTGATGAGGACGAGGAAGAAGAAGAAGCACAGCCAGAAGTCAAAAAAGAAGCGAAGAAAGAAGCCAAAGAGAAAGACGAAGGTACGTTCTAGCTTAAGCCCTTATATCCCCTTCATCCCCAAGTCGCCCACGCTAACACATACCTCTCTCTAGGTGCTCCGCCAGCCAAGAAGCAGAAGACTGCGCCTGCGCCTTCTGTCGTCGATGAGGACGAGGAGAACGGCGCAAATGGCGAAAAAGATGAGGACGAGGAGGAGGTTGCTGAGGAAGGAGGCGTGGAAGAGAGTGCAGCTGAAACCGCCGAGAAGAGTGGTCCGGCTGCCGCTGCTGCTAAGGATAAGGGTGGTGTTGTTCCCAAGGAGTCGGATCTGCCCGAGGTTGAGGCAGTTGAGAAAGAGGAGGAGTGATTTTGCGGTCGAGAATTTGGCTTCTTCGCCATAATTTTACGCGGAACTAAAATGGAATCCACCCTTGGAGAGGTGATTGGATTGCTTTGCTTTGATAACCTCCTAAATACAATCAGAGGTGCTATGAATGTAGAGTGTTTTGGGTTAGAAGTGAGTTCTGGTCTAAATAGATCCAGGGATATTAAACTAGTTCATGCATGTAGCCAATCCTCGCTATGTTCTCCGGGACTTGGAGGTGACGTGCATAGAAATCGCCGTTGAAGCTCATCTACTGGCTGAGTACTATGTTTCTCTCCACTCCAGTGGGTTCCGATGCAGATCCTAAAATAGACTGGTGTTAGACAGTGATTGGAGGTAGAAGTCGAGACCTAAATGGATATGGATACGAATGCCAAACTACTACTTCGTATGAGATCCACCTTCATGTCCAATCGGGCAACCAGATACGGAAGATAGAAAATATATACCATCTAAGAAAACTACCTAACAATCGGACCAAGAGAAAGTGCAAAAAAAAGAGGTGTCATCAATCAAGGATGGTCATTAGCCCTGCATGCGCCCCGCTTTCTATCTTGATATCCAGAAGACATAGAACTGTCTTCCAACTCAGTTTGTGTCTCATAATCGCCAACATATTTAAGTGTCGCTACCGCTGCTGCGGAAGGTGGCACACAGTTGACAGTACTGGTGTGTGAGGTCGAGGACAGCTTGAGGCAGGTTTGTCGCTTGGACAATGCTGCGGACCTTAACGGCACCCTCGTCTTCAATGAGTTTGCGAACCATGAACAGGAGCTCGGGGGAGAACTAATGGGTTATCAGTTATAGTGGTCAAAGTGATATTAGCCAGGGAAGGGAGCATACCTCGGAGTACCAGCGATATTGCCAGGCAATGAGGCGGATCAATGCGCCGAGCATGCCTCTGGTGTCATTTCGCTGTTCGTACAACTTCAACACTCCGCGCATAGCCTTGGGCGAGAACCGAGTGGCTAGACAGCTCTGGTATGCCTCAATGCTTTCGTCGAAATGGTGCAGTCGCTGCGCAAGCTCGCCAAGAATTTCCCACTCGGTAGCAGACTTCTTGTATTCCATGGCTTGTTGACGGAACTGGGCCATTTCGGTCCGCCAGATGGTGTAGATGCGCAGATCCTCGTAAAGTACCATGAACAAGTTATCGAGCCACCTTTCACACAGTCGCTTATTTCGGAATTGCGTGTATGAGGCGTGAGACGGGTCGGGCTGTGACATAAACAGTTAGCATATATATAAAATACGTCCCTGATGGGTGTGCAACATACAACTTCCTTGCCAGACTTGACAACTTCGGATGCTACTGTTTGCTCCGGTCGCTCGAGGGGGCTTTCAGGGTGGCTGTCTCCCACATCTCCATTGGCAGTTTCTTCCGAAGACGGCTCGGTCGGGTCAGGGCCAGCCACAGAGCCGGAGTCATCTTCGTTGTCGGGGATCTTGCCGTTAGTCTCCGCCTCCAATGATGTAGCGGGCTTAGGGATATGCTGACGCTCAACGCGGTATTCTTCTTCCATCACGAAAACCTGACTGCGAGCCTTGAGTAGTTGATCCCATCCAATAGCAGCAGCGATTTTTGTCAGAAGATTGTAGGCCTTCAAGAAAGTGCCTTGGTAACCAGCAGCATGGATCTTTCGGAGAGAAGGGTGAACATAGTCGTGAGGGTCTCCCTGCTTTGGCTGGCCTTCATCGATTTCATCGAGAATGCTTTCAGCAAGAATTGGGAGCATGATGCGTGACGGTTGTGGCATGCGAGGGGTATCTTTGTCTTGATAGGTGAACATGGGGCAAGAGTTTAGAGTCAGAAGCGCCAAGTCCCAGCGTTCCATACCGACGTATACCTCTGCGAGGCGAGCCCATGTACTGAATTCGCTGGGAGCTGCAGTGACTGCACGCTTAGCGCACTCAAGTGCCATCTCGCTTTCGCCTTTGCTTTGACAGAAACTGGCCTGGCAATCAAGCAGAGCATAGTCCATCGGAACATCTTGTAAAGCGTCGTACATGAGGCGTACCGCTTGCACCTCCTCGTCTGCCATAATCTGTACACGAGCCAGGAGGGACGAAACCTCCACATCCTTTGTGCGGAGCTTCTCAAACAAGTTGATTCCAGAGGTATAACGGCCAGTGGTGTGAATGTATTTGAGGATGCCGGATGTGAGGTGGTTGCTCACAGTGTTAGGGACTTGGGTTTCGGGGTCAGAGCTCAGTTGGCGACCTAGAAATATTGTTAGTCAGAGACACACCAGGCAACCTTGTGAATCGGTTTGGAATACATACCCAAGAAGAAAAGCTTCTCGGCGGCATCCAAGAACTTGTGCTCCATCTCTGTGTTTGTCACGGGGTTGAATCGTCGGACTCCAACAATCCTCTTGACGGAATCACCGCTTCCATCGTCCGCATAGAGATAAGCCCTCAGAACAGAGCAAAGGAAGGTCTCAAGCCAAAGAGCCTCAGTGGCAACTCGTTTGTCACCCCGCTCATCAATGCAGTAGCTCTCCAAACTTCCGGGGATTTTAACTTCGACGCGCATGTCGAGATGGGAGAATGCATTGTAGCAACTGTATAGATATCAGCATGTGAGCCCAACACCGTAGGAACATAGATTCTAACCAGTAGATCCCCGATACCACTTTATGCGTCTTGTCGAGGGGAGAAAATGTGAGGGTATTAACATAGGCGGCTAAGCTGGCGGACGAGGAGGCATCGATTCCGGTGACATGATGATAAACTCCGGTCTGTAGTAGACAGAAAATCAATCAATTGTTCACACATGGGGGATTATATCAGGGAAGGAGAGTTGGTATCCTATATCTTACCTGGCGAGTCGAATTGGCCTTAGGTTGCTTCACCAAATAGACCAAGTCTGGAGGGCCTAGTTCTCGCAAGCTCTGCAAGGACTCCGTTCGCGCATCGACCGCAACATAGATATCCTCCTCCTCGTGGATCCTGAATGATGTCCTCAATGTCAGTCACAATTCCTGTAATTGTCGTAGTGGCAACTGTTGAGAATCTCGAACAATGGCCATGCATATGCAACCCGGGGAACACGTAAACGGGGACAGGAGCACATACTCAGGGACAGCGGGCGCGACCATGGCGCGTGCACAAGCGCGGTGGAATTAAAGATGAGGGTATCTTAATTAATGAATTCTGCGTGAATCGTAAGACGTTTCAGGGGTTGCGCTGAGGGTAAAGTGAAGAGTGATCTAAGAATACTCCAACTGTCAGTACTGCCCCCAAGAAAAGGGTATCAGGCCACAAGGCACCCAGGCCAGGAACTCAGGCACCCAGGCAACAGTCAGGCGCCAAACACTTTCCCCGATTGGTGCAACGCGTGATAACGTGTGTCTGCCCGCGATAACCAATTGATTTGATTATTGCTGCCCGCATCTATGGTCTCGGTATCTTGCCCGATGCTGTCGCCTGATTTCTCTTTTTCATCTAATATTTGAGGGACCCGCGTGGAGCTCACACCATGTCGAGCTGGGTCGCATTGAATGTTGAGCCCGATGAGGCTGTCGAAGAGGAAGTTGACGACACCAAGGAGCTCCAGATCGAGGAAGCTTTGAAGCTTTACTACAGTGCCTTGAAGCTGCATTCCCAAGGGCCAGAGCACTATTCCCAGGCTGCCGAGGCCTATGAAGCTCTTCTCAATTCGGAGATCTTCAAATACCCAGAGTCTATATCCGATTTCAAAAGGGGTGCCTTCGACGATGCGCAGGATGAAATTGCTACAGAATCGATCGCTGAGTTCAACGTCAACGACTCTACCTCCAGTCTATTCCAAACGCTCTACCTGTCCTATAAAAACCACGGCAAATTTGTCCTCGATTCGGTACAAGACTCCATACGAACAGCGCCACAGACCCCCGAATCCGAGCAGGAAATACAAAGAAAGTTGACGGAGGCATCCAGAAAAGCGTTGGGGTCTTTCGGCGATGCCTTGGAACGAGACGACTCAGATCTCAACCTCTGGAGGCAGAGCGCAAGGCTCAGCAGTTCCTTAAACAGCTACCGCTTGTCTCGGTATTGCCTGGAGAGTGTTCTAGCGGACGATGACAATCGCTTGGAATTACGCCCAGAGCAACTTGGCCTAGAGGAGATATTTGCGGAGCAGCGCCTGCGAAGTACGCTGCAGTCCCTCTTCGACAGGTTATCTGCCTCGCAAATTCCCGTCCAGAGGCCAAAGAAGGCTTTATTGAAATACCTCAAACAACATGAGGATCCATATCCCAACCTGCCGGCACTTCCCGCCGATTTGCGCCGCCTAGATCCGTTAAGGGGCCCTCTTGCCCTGCACGCTTCCCGTCGAGAGATAACCCCTGCTGACCCAACTTGGGAGTCAGTTGGTAAGGCGCTTCTCCAAGCAATTGACGATGAAGATGATAACTCGCTCGCTGCTGTCCCCACTCAGTCTATTGCCATTATCTTGCCTTCCAGAAGCTCCCAGGCCCCGACTACACCGATCGCGAATGCGGAGGCCACGGAAATGGCCGTAGATACCGAGGGGCGCGGAAATAAGGGTGATAATGATGTTGCCGACGTGGACATGCTTGAGATAACCGAAAACGATGCCAAGCCTGAACAAAGTTCACCTCAGCCAACGAAAGAGCCCTCTGAGCCAGGCGAGGAACAATCATCTCTTGATCAAAGTGCTGAAAAGCAATTGATGGAGTCATTGGAACGCCAATCGGCGCAACCACAGGATCAGCAGGCCGAAAAAGATGGGACTCACGCAGACGAAGTTGACACGAACTCTGGAGTGGACATTCGAAAAAGATCGTCTGCATCGGCTGCGAACGAAGAACCGGAGGGCGGCCGTATGAAAAGCAGACGGACGCGAGCCCGAGAGTCAAATGCCGACACTTTGGCACTGCCCGAAGAAGTTGCCTTCGATCAAGAAAAGTACTACGAAGACCGTCTTGAGGTTTTTGTCAACGCCGATGATTGGATGTTCAGTACTGTCGACTCTCTCT